AAAAGCTGCAATCGCTGTCAAAAATATTACTGTTTTAACATGCAAATCAACAGGCAGCAGGAATTTTTTTTTTTTTTTATACAGTGAGCAAGCTGCTTTTTTCATTGTGCTTTCCTCACCCGAGTAAAGCAGAAAAAGCTTTTGACTGACAGTAAAAAGGAACTTCATATGGGGCTCCAGTCAGAGCTTCCTTGCGTGTACATGTACTGTATACCTTCATCTAAGTTGTAGCATCCTGCATTGCACCTCTGCTAACTGATCAAACATCCACCTCGTGTCGGGGCATCTGCAGTTTCACTCCTCTGACAAAAAATCTCACCTGAATTTTTACAAGCAAGATTTTGGCTTCTCCACTTCCACTGGATGTTGCTGCCATCTTCCATCCCACTCTGCTGACCGGCATTCTGATTAGCATACAATGCCAGACAACCAATTTTGAAAGAACCACACATAAACAATAAAATGAGACACTAATGGCCGGTGAAACGAATTCAGCGGGCCAACATAACAGAGGGGGGAATACCGGAGTCCCAAAGCTTCCCAGGTAATTGGAGTGCAGTATAGTGTTTTTTACTCCAAAGCACAGCTCCTCTGGCGACCTTGCAGGCTGAAAACATGGAAGGAGGCAGACACCCCGAGCGGAACACAGACAGAATGATGCTCTGTGTCCGAGGTTTATGATTATCTTTGGGATTTTTCATCATTGCTCTCAGCGCATTAGCATAACAGAGAGTGTTTGCACCGTTAACGTCAGCCTGTCTTCAGTCACTTCAGTTTTTCGGTGCAGAGCTGAGCATCCTGGACACATTTATTATTCCTGTCACTTAAAAGAAGCCAATTCAAGATGTTCTCAGTATCTGTTTCAAATAAATTGTGATAATGACCACTGGTGCAGCTTTCTATAACTTCTGTGAGATACTTAAGAAAGTGAAATATGTTGATATAACCATTGTTTTTTGATGAGTTAAGTTGCTGTCAAAGTCAGTTTTGGATTGCCAATCCGATTCTCCCTAATTGGGCCAAATGAAGGGAAAAAGTGAATCATCCATGTCCATATTTTATTTATTTTATTACATATATTTAGCATCTGTATTTCATGAATATGCAAAGAGTTTTGTGGGAGTAGTGTGAACATTCACAGCTAAGGTGTGAAAATTAATCGTTAGACATAATGTACAGAAGGTTTTAGTGCAGGCGGCACGGTGGTGCCGTGGTTAGCACTGCTGCTCACAGCAAGAATGTTCTGGGTTCGAATCCCGGGCGTTCGGATCTGTGTGTAGTTTGCATGTTCTCCCTGTGCCTCCGTGGGTTCTCCCCAGCCTCCTCCCACAGTCCATGGCAACTCTAAATTGCCCATAGGTGTGAATGTGTGTGCAAGTGCTTGTTTGTCTCTATATGATGGACTGGCGATCTGTCCAGGGTGTACCCCGCCCTCGTCCAATGTCAGCTTGGATTGGCTCCAGCCCCCCCCCCCCGACCCTGCATGGATAAGCAGTACAGATAATGGATGGATGGATGGATGGTTTTAGTGCACAGGTGTAAAGGACTGAAATGGTTCATTACTGACTAAAGGTGTCTTTTTACTGTGCAACAACAATGATCATGTAAATTTACTACACATCACGTCCAGCAAGATGGGTCTAATAAAGTCTTCCATTTCTGAAATTGTCACAATTTTTTTTTTTTTGGTTACCAAAGCTCCAAATTGGCCGTCAAGGACTCCTGTTTTGGATCAATAAGCAGAGATTTGACCAGGTTTCTTGGATGGCCCAGGATTGCACAGTGTAAAGAGATCTTTAGTGACTTTAATTCCAGATTATTAGAGGGCTGTGGTCCTTGAAAGAACTGAGTTGTGTGGAGTTGTGTAAATTGTTGTGCCTGTGTACCTGTTTTCTATCATTTAAAAGGAGACCAGTGGAGAGTGAAGCAGTGAGTCAGTGCTTTTGTAAAGATATTTATGAGGCCAGTATGACACGGCTGATATAGAGTCTAGAGGTCATATAAGTGATAAAAGAGGAAAGGCAGACAATGTCCAGTGGCTCTGTGTGTGTGTGTGTGTGTGTGCGTGTCTGTGGGAATCATAGTATGAGAAACACAACATGGAGTAAGATATACTGGAGTCATTACGGATTTGATTCCATCTTATGATCTTTGTTGCATGCCATCGCCTCTCGCTCTATCACCCAGTTGTTTCCCAGCTACACTTCACTGTGAGCCATCTAATGAAACAGAAAATGATCTTTCACAGACTTGTACTGTATGAAGAAAGGTGATATTTTCAAAACCTTAATAAGAAAGAGGTTTGGATGGTGGTGGAGTATTGCACATATTGTTTTTGTCACCTTAACACCTTTGGCGCGTAAACCACAGACACAAAAAAACATAGAGATACACACCTCAATTACAGTGCTATTTCTGTGGCGCTACCTGTCAGTGACACTGAGCTCAAACCAGCTGGGATTAATTAGTGACTCAACAAACACACTCATTCACACTCTCTCTCTCACACACACACACACGCACACACACACACACACAAATGCAGCTTTCTATTTCTTTCTGTATGAAACATATACATGCACACATCATAAGTAAATCAACACACAAGCCAACACACATGTACTTTTCATATCTTCACCTTCTATTACTTATTTACAACAGTTCCCTCTTGAAAAACACACACACACACACACACACGGCGTGCGCGCAAATGTGAAAAGCTTCCAGAACAGCATGTTGCCAATAAACACCCCTCCTCCTCTGCTGTAATTACCTCACTCTTCATTTCACACCTTGTGTATGCACCTCATATCTCTCCGTGTCACCATGTTACCGCTCTGCCTCTGTACAAGGCAATACCTGTCCACACTAATATGAAATGTGATCTTACATTTAGTTTATAGTCTTTTCTAAACAGGCATGTGTGTGTGTGTGTGTGTGTGTGTGTGTCGGGGGGGGGGGGGGGGGGGGGGCTGTACAATATATCTGATAGAAACGTTTCTGTCACTACTTTTGAAAAGGTTTCTAGAGGTGCCACAAAGTTTCTAGGCTGAATGCGAGATCATGTTATCCTCGCTCAGACTGACATATTTTTTTATTTTGCAGAGCAGTGTTTGTGTTAGCAAAATCCACGGCCAGTGAGGACAAGCTGTAACTCCTGTCAGCTTGTGTTGGGGCGTCGGGCTTGTTCCGCGCACTGCTGACTTTGATAGAAATAAAGCCGCTGACAGGTTTTTAAAGACAAGCTGTCGCAAGCCATAACCTTGAGGATGTTTGTTTGTGTGTGTGTGTGTGTGTGTGTGTGTGTGTGTGTATGCGTGCGTGTGCCGTATATGTTTACATGATTGTGTTATGAAGGGTGTGATGAGGTTACAAACTCCAGTAGAGAGATTCAATATGCTGAGGTAAGGTAAAGACTGAAGAATGAGAGCGTGAGGAAGTAAACAGAGTCAGGTATAATGAGTCTTTACCTGATATGTGGTAAAGCATACAACACTACAACACTGCAACAGTACAGTGTAGACAATCCACACACATAGGGGAGGAAAGAAGATTAACTGGACTTAAGGTGCTGGAGAGTTCAAATGGGAGGATCCATCAAGTGAGCTGCTGTGGGTGTGTGTTTGGGAGGATGAGAGGGAGAAAATTTACATTTGTGCATTAGCTGTTTGATTTTGTGTGTGTGTGTGTGTGTGTGTGTGTGTGTGTGTGTGTGTGTGTGTGTGCGTGTGTGTGGATGGACATTGTTTATTCTATTGGCAGCTGATGCTTGTTTTATCCAGCCGCCTCTGTAGTGGCAACTCATTAGCATAGTGATAATGAGAGATAGAAAAGGTTGCCAGTGTCAGCACACCAAGTTTTTTACATAGTAAAAAAAACACCAATTTTGGTTATTCAGAGAAACTGTGTGTGTGTGTGAGTATGTGTGTCTGCATCTTTAATTTGATGGATTTTTATCCACCACGCACTGCAAAGATACACTGACAAACTGAGAATTTTAAAGAGTAACTTCACACCAAGCTGAATATCACTGCTTCAATGGTAGATGAAGCGGCTGTAATCACACCAGAGTGATGATGGTCGACAAACTCTGTGCGTCAATTACTTCATCGCTGCAGCAAGATAAGAACTTCAACCACTTGAACTTAGTCCAAAAAAAGGATTTTTAGCTGGTGCGAAGTTACCCTTGTACTATCTGGCTTGCACAATCACATCTTCCAAGGTTAAAAGTTAGCACTCAAGTAAAACCAGTCTGTGTAACTTGATGTAACTGAGCTCAGCTGGACAAAACGGAAACCAGCTGGTTAAACAGTCCCTTGATATCCCAATGCAAAAGATCAACAAGTTATTGGAGCACAACTAACAAGCTTGTTCGCCTATTGCACTATCCATCCATCCATCCATCCATCCATCCATTATTCATACCGATTATCCTTATAAGGTCACGGGGGCGGGTGACGGTGGGGGGGGGCTGGAGCCAATCCCAGCTGACATTGTGCGAGGGCAGGGTACACCGTGGACAGGTTGCCAGTCTATCACAGGGCTGCCTGTATTGCACTATTGCACTAATGCATTACTCTATCTTATATTTCTTAATAGCATTTCAATAAGTCGCATCACATGGGACATATTGATATGGATTCACTGAGCTGCTGGGTCAATGTCACACAGCAAATAAGCCTTCAATACTGAGTAGATTGGAGGTGGAATCACACACTGTACAAACCCTGATACATCCTCCTCTGTCTTCTCTTCCAGGTGACCGCTGCCACTCTGCAAAAGTCAAACTGGAAATTCTGTGGATGCTTGGATTCTTTGCTTCGGATGCTGATGCAGTACGGACGATTTGGATTCCTCTCTGTATCCAGTCAGTGTGAGCCCTAAGCATTTTCATTCTCAAAGGAGCAAGAGCCCTGAACTGACTTGTGAAGCGCTGCTGAACCTTGGTATACAGACTACAGACCAGGGCGGATGAAACTACAATAGACTGAGCTCAGTCAAGTGTTTTATGACATTTGGTGCATTATATTCATTTCCTCTGTAGATTTGCTGTCAGCTCCAGTCGCAGTTGATTTTCAGATGATATATAAGGAGCAACTGCCCTAAAACTGGTGGCTGCACTGGTGGTAGCTCTTGGTAAATGACATAAGGACTGAAAGATTCTTACCTGGACATCGTGGTGGTGGCGCCCCTCTTCAACAGGCTGGGAGTGGCATTAGGATGCCTGAACTGGATAACTTTCCCCCCCTGAGGGGCCCCAGAGGCCCTGAATTGGGCCTAAATGGACCAGCAGACCCAGCTCAAATTCAACACAGCATCCTGGAGGAGCAGGTGGAGCTGTGGTGGTTCAGAGATCCTGGGAAGTCTCTGCTCTGCTACTGTGTGGCTGTTCTCCTAATCTTGGGCTGTGGGCTGGGAGGAGTTGGACTTCTCTCCACCACCACCAGCGTCTCGAGCGAATGGCGGCTGGGCGCGGGCACGGCCCTCTGCCTGCTAGCCCTGGGAGTCCTGCTCAAACAACTGCTCAGCTCGGCCGTGCAGGACATGAATTGCGTCCGAAGCCGACGGCGGATTGACATGCTAAAAAGCGGTGGTTTATCTGACCTCCTTGTGGTTTTGATTACGGGGCTTTCACTGTTGATTTGTGGAGGGGTTCTACTACGTCTGGCCCTGGCTAACCACATGCCGAAGCCCGGCCAAGCCCTCAATGACATGTACATCTCTGGGGTGGTTTTGCTGGCTGGAGGGGGGGCCGCAGTTGTGGGCGTTGGGATATACTCTGTTGTGGTGATCCTGCTTGAGAGGACAAGGCACGGACGAAGGCTGGTGGACCGGGTTTTGAATATCTTCACTGTTTCTGGACACATGGACCACCAGGCTCGCAGAGAGACTACCTCCAGTCTGGCTAACCTCATATGAGATATAACCACACTCAGACTGTGTATTTTGGCCCCCTTGCTCAGCTAAATTAGCCCACACATTAGCAGACACATGATTCACTCTTTACATGCTTCAGCTTGGTCACCGGCTGATCAGTGTGTATGAAACAAATTCAGTTGACTTTGTGTTATCTGCTCGGTGAGGGTGTTGTCGATGAGCAGTGAAATCCCGCAGTAAGGATGATAAGATCGAAGAGTAACACTGAAGAAGAATTGATTGCTACAATGCAGCTGAAAGTCGGGGGGCAGTGGTGTGTATTTTACATGTGAGAGATATTTGAAAGTTCAAATCAGCAATTTTTTTTTACACACTGTAAATCATGCACCATTTACATGAGTCTAAATGCCAAAAGATCGGCGCCTGTGGCAGCACAGCAGAGGCAGTGTTAGTATGCAGGTCACCAGCACAAAAGCATGCAAAACAAGAAGAACAAAAAAATGTTGATTTGGCTTGTATTTAGGGAGATTCAGTCAGATGAAAAGCACATATTTTAGCTGAGACACGTCTGAAATTAAAGGGAGAAGTGTTTGATGTTATTGTTACCAGATAGGTTCAGCAGTGTGGAATTAATTAACAAAGATCTGTGGTGGGGGCATAGTCTACAGTGGCCTCATTTGATTTGAATAAAATCATCTCAGATGATCTATAAACATAAAGTTGTAAGAAGTGCCCACAGACAACTCAAGGTGACACGAGGTTGTGGTTAAAGGGGCCATTTACAAACTGGTGTGTATAATGTATCTGTGATAAACATGTATCCTGTCAAAGTGCCCTTGGACCACACATCTGACCACTCTCTGCTCTGTGATTGTGAGCTGTCATGGATAAGAGCACCAGCTGAATGGAGATAGGTGGGACAAGGTGGATATAAAAAAAAGTCATCTTTTTAAATTCATTTGTAATTTATATACCGACCTCACTCTGTCCATGTTCACATGAAGTTATGAAAATGTGCAGCTGATGAATTTGACTGTGGGTAAAACTGAGGATGGTCAATAGACACGAGGCTTCTCCTGATCTCATTTCTTTCCTCACTTTAATAATAATTTATCATAATTCATGCAGTAGGACTGTGGTGTTTGTGACAGACTGTAATATTTGGCTGCCTGTACACATGAGAAGACGACATGATTGTTGGCGAATTATATCACAGCACTTTAGAATGTATGGATAATTTGTGGTCTTGTGCATCAACACAGTATTGTCTTAACTGTCACTCTTGCGGCGCCTTGTTTTCCTTTAACCTGCGTCCTTCTATATTTTTTATATTAACACTGGATCACTTGACTGCGTGTAATGTAACATGGTAATTCACAGTACAACTCTTCAGCTCTGTTGAGTTTTTTTAGCCTCTTAGCTCATTGTTTGTACTACAAGGTTGAGTCTCATTGTTCCCATCAACCTCTACCCAGCACCGACTGGCAAACAGAGAAGTTATAGAGCGGCTGATCAACCTCAGGAGTTGGTGGGAACCAAAACACAGAGTAAGGAGAGGGTTAATACTATAAATACTTATATTGTTCAGATGAGCAGAAAAACAACTTTATAATTGAATGTATAAGTAGGCAACGGTCCATAAAGGCAGTTTGATGATATATAGTTTGCTCCCCAAAGCATGGACATGTTCAGCATGTGACACTTACTTTTTTTGTAATTTGATTACTTTAATTTTGTAAAACTGAATTCATCAAGTGGCCCCTGCATCATTACATCTTGTGGAAACATCTTGTAGAGGGGCCCTGTGTCAAAGTCCACTTGTAATACCTGATGCTAGAGACTCTGCTGGGTAGGTTCTGAAAAAGGTTTGGATGACTTACAATTAACAAGATGACGTGAAACTGTCTTTATGAAGACGTTTATGAAGTGTTGTGTTGTGCGTGCTAACAAATAAGACAAAACATCTTCACGAGCTAGTGATAATGTGGTACTGTAGCTGTCAGTTTGCCTTTTGCTCCCGACTGGCTAAAAGTTAACAAACGCAGCTTTATACATGCTAGCCAGAGTGCAAGAAGAAGGGTATCTGCAGTCTATCTATCCATGGCAAAGATCGGACATCTTTATACTGTATATTTCTAATGATTCTGGGAAACTGATCCTTTTACAGGGTAACAGGAAACGAGGGCCAAATTTACCAAAAGAAGAAGAGGATGAATCAGCAGCACAATTATATGGACTTTGACTTTTGGTGGGTTTTTTTTTTTTTTCCTTTTTTTTTTTGGTGAGATTAATTAAAATGTATTTAAATCCCTGAAGCACTAAAGTGAAAGAAAGATGGCTGCACATCAGCTACTTTATTTAAGGATTAAGTTGAATCTCAGCGCACTTCTCTAAACATGACATTATTTTCAGCATGGGGCTGTGGTTGGAGGTGACAGTTGTAGTCGTAGCACTTCTGATTTATTAGATGTATTTTTGGCTCAGACCACAGCGCATTATCATTCCCCACAAAGCAGAGAGGGAGAAATGACTGTTGGGGGAAAAATCTGTGAAATTAAATCCATTACATCAACATGGCCAGTCATAGAATTTCAATGCACTTGCAAATGTTTGAACTAGGTTGTCAATGTGCTTAATCATCTTTCACCGAATTAGGTGAATTTACAGTATGCTGACACTGCTGCATTATTACTGGGTCTTATTTGTTTCCAGGGGTGTTAAAACATTCACTTTGAAATGCCCAAAAATGTTTTCAGTTCAAATTATTCTCACGCTATTAAGATCCAAAGAAAAAAAAAAAACAAAAGAAAAAACTGCAGTGTGGCAAATGAAGGTCATTCGTGTTTGTGAAATGTTTCCAAAGCCTTTGAGAGTAATTCCTAACATCACCTCACAGAAGAAGCTCAGAAAAGGTCCTGCATTGTGTTTCATTTGTGTGTGTTTGTGTGTGTGTGAGTCAGTCACGCCTCTTTATCTGTCTGCACATACGCACAGCCTATTGCCTTGAGACAAAAGGGGTCACACAGTTAACCATTGTTGGTGTGATGACGGACAGCAAACTGAAGGCACAATGCACAAGGCAGCAAACTGTAGGGACTGGTATACACTAGCACCACTCTCTCTCTTTCTCTCTCTCTCTCTCTCGCTCTCCCACACACACACAGAGGAAAAAAACAAGGCTCATGCTGCATTTTTTTTTTTACAACACACGCAGAAATCCTGTAATCCCTCCTTACATGTATCTGTCTTTTGACCTGAAGTACACCGTAGTAGCAGTAGCAGGTTGTGTTTCCATGCATGACAGCAAGAAGAGGTGCGCAGAGCGAAGAGGGAGGCAGGTGTGATACTGAGGACAGACAACTGTGTGGGAGGATTCAGAGCTTTTCTGACAGGCCAAGATAGTGAAAAGATCTGAACACAAAGAACATGAACCACAGAAAATGTGTTCATATAGCGTACTGTAAGTCCACATGAAATTTTATATGTTTTTATATGTTTAGTATGTGAAATGTGTGTGTGAAGTATTTTTCCATCCATATCACAGTGTATTTGTGATGGAAAGTGGCATTAATCTGCTGTAGTTGCAGTTTTTCACAATTGCCACTTAAATTCATGATCTGGTCTGTGCTGGTATGACCCCGTTTGTCTTACCCTATAGCTAGCCTACTGTATATCTCTCTTGCAATTGTGGATTTGGACACTGAAGCTTGATTGGGACTATACATTAGTGAGTAATTGTGATTGCATAAAAGGTAGGCTACATTAAATTTAAAGACTGTCTATCGAGGGGCGTGAAAGTCAAGCACGCATCAACATTTTGTCACTGTCCTCTGTCAGTGTCCACACTGTTCATCAGTGTGTTTTACAGATGCTGGGAAGTGGATTTTCTTCTTTTTTTGAAACTTTTCTTTAAAACAATTTTTCCCCCATTTCCAGTTATTAGGCAAAGCTAAACTCTGCAAACGCACAAATAAGTGAATAATTCCTTTAATGGTATTGCCAACCAATGCATCAAAAAAGGTTTATAGCTTCTCAATGAAAATTTTCTTTTAAATATTTTAACTCTAACTTTCGTTTAATTTGACATTTTTTGTTTTCGTATGTTCCTGTATGTGACATTTGCGGTTAAATATTCATACAGAACTCATAGCAGATCTGTCCATTATATCACACTGTTGATGCTCTGTATTTCAGAGCATGATATTATTCATCCATCACAATTTGGTGAAGTAGTCTTGTTTGGAACTACAAATAAAAAATTTCTCTTACAAACAAAAAAAAAAACCCCACTGTATTTCAAAACACGGTACAAAAAATTATTTATTTCCAAATATATCCCTTTGCTTCCTATGGACAAACAGTAGTTGATAAATTAATGAAAACACATAACAACATACACTTATTAAAAATCCTCATTGGTGTCTGAAATATGTCGCACACAGGAAAATGGATTGATTGTAACAGACGGTTTTTGTTCTTTAACAGCAGCGATGCAATAAAATGACTCAGGACTCTCTTCTCTTTTGGCAGTGCAGCTGAACTGATGTGGTGCAATGCATGCACAACAGAGGGAGTGAATTGCACCACAAACTGCTTTGAAGAAGAGCAGAGGCCCGCAGGTCGACATACAATATATATAAAAAATTTAAAAAAAAGTCATGAAAAAACGATCACCTCAACATACTGTCAGTATTCTGAGATTCTGCAAAGAAAAAGAAATCCCTTCAGGTTATTTTACTTTTGTCTCATTCACCTTCCTGAACCCACTTTTCTTGCCCTTCAAAGCATTTTCCACTGGAGACTAACTAGTACAGTATAAACAACAGATAACTACATGACAAAAAATGTCTGCACTGTGCTCATTCCTTCAGTCTCTGCCTCGAAGCTGCAGGCTGATTTCGAACACAAGGACAAGGTTACAGGCCCCGTGGGAGTGTGTCGACAGTACTGCGTTACACTGCCAACGCCTCTGACAATATTGTGCCTTATTAGTCATTGATCTGGTCGCTGGTGTTAGTTTCAGTGCACTGGGGATTATGTTCACAGTGCTAAAGGTGATGACATATAGGCAATGAATGTATATTATAGAGGTTCTGATATATGCCTTTGAGAGGGAGGAGGATGAACAACTGAGTAACGATGTATGTGGGTAATAAAGTGGATATTAAGGACAAAACCCTTACAGTTAAAGGTGCTGAGAGATTTGCCAGGATGTGGTGTATAGTGGTTAAAAGAAAAGAAAAATCTCTCGGCTGCAGTACATGGCACACTTCCGATCATCATCATGGTCCTTTGTGAAATAAGAACTGACAATAACCCATCACAGTTACTGTATACTCATGTTGCACAGTAGAAAGCCAAGAACTCAAAATAGATCAGGCTTCGTTCAAGTCTATGTTTGAGTATGTTTTTTTTTTCTTTCTGAGGAAAACTACATTAAAAATAATGTGTTGTTTCCCGAATTCTTCTCAAGTGGTATCGCATCAAAAGTGAGGAAATGGGAGCTTGGCAGAACCAGACAGTGTCACAAAGTTATCAGTTCATTATTCACATATTAAAACATTTCACTGGAGTCCTGAGGAACCCTTACAAAAAAAGAAAGAATCACAGGTCAGAGGTGATGCCACAGCCTTTCCTGTCTGAGCTGAGTGAGTCCTCAGAGGAGGGGATGATGTCTTGTTTCCACTCAGAGTGGAGAAAAATTTCATATGTCCTCCTGCACTTGTCCTCTGCTGTCCATTGCAGACGAGGAGCCGGAGAAGGGGTGAGGAGAGGAGAGGAGAGGAGAGGAGAGGAGAGGAGAGGAAACAGACAGAGAGAGAAAATATCCATTCGTCTAGCAGCATCTGTGCCCTTTAGTTTGTCCGGAGCTGGTAATCTGCCAAGAAATGTAACAGCAGAGCATTAACACACAGCTTTCTTCCACTCATCACCCTTGCACATCACATCACTGCCAATATAAGCCCCATTAAATCCCTAAACAAGATTTGCACTAATACTAGCTGTAGTGCCACTCTACTAAATCATATTACCAATATTTAATACAATAATTTACTTAAGTTGTAGACTCTGAAGAGTCTTTCCAAAAGAAAATGATCCTTTATGACTGTCAGCATTAGTAATACAGCAATCTTCAATTAGCAAAATCAGATGTACTGAATTATCATACTGCCTATGTAAAGCCAAGGTTGTTCAATAACATGTAAGTTTATATGGCCCAAAATATATGGACAAGGATTTCCACACATACTTTTCGTGTACATAAATGTACAATGTGTATGGTTTGAACGTCAAACAATAATAGTTTTGACAATTCCATGTTTTCAACTTTGTAGAAACAATATTGGGAAAACCCGCTCCGGTTTCAACATGACGGCGCCCCTCTGAGCCCGGTCCATAGAGAGCGGAGGTGAAACCGGTACATCCATGTAAGAAAACCTCACTGATAATCACACTGGTTTTTGTAATAACACAAAGAAATAAAAAGATCGAGGCCTTTTTATAACAGTTGTTTACTCCAAATGCTGTTGTTTACTCAGCTGGTCTGATTTTAGCGGCCTTCAACAACCACCATTTCATCTCGTAGGTTAAACGTCGTGGCTACACAGAAGAAGCGAGTCCATGAGCGAGTGGAGGGGTCGTGAGTGATTCTTTCTAATAGCCACTTTCGTCTTGTAGTGGATGCCAATTTGGCTATGAAAGTGAACATTAAACCCCAGGAATACGTCATTTTTTTCAGAAAGACTGATGACAGAAATGCTAAATGAGAGACTAATTTTCTTGTGCTTTAATGGCCACAAATCCCTTGTCAAAAGCCCTTCAAGAGGAGCGCAGGCTGTTGTAGCATCAGATTAACGTCCATGAGTTTTGGAATTAGATTTTATGTTAAACAAATACATAAGGATTTAATGATTGGACATTTACTTTTGCCCATGTAGTGAATTAAACCCTCTGAAGACGCTTTGCTTCCAATTATGAACATATCATCAATTCCCGATCCAAAATCATGTTATATCATTAATATTATGTAAACATCCATGCTTGATTAGCAGAGCTCTGCATGTTCATTTCACTATATATGAGTGCAGTCTATCAGCTGGAGCGTGACGGTGCCTGATCAATTTCTGAGCAGTGACCGTGTCTGACAGTGAAGTCGTCGCTTTCTGCTGTACAGTGCGACGGCTAAATGCCTGTTCATCACTCATTAATAAGTCAGCACGGTCCGTCTACAGTATCAGGGTATTGTTTAATCAGTGTGAGTGTGTCTGTGTGTAGTGCTGAGTGAAACGTGATCACCTCCGTCCTCCCTCTGCCCCTCCCTCCCCGCGTTGCTGATGGAAACTGTAAGAGAAAGGTGATAGCCTCCTCTCCCGTCCCCCTAACTTCATCACTCTTCGTTCTCTAGCTCGTGCTCATCTTTTGTCCTTCTCCTTCCTCTCTCTCTCTCTCTCTTGCTTCCTTGCTGATGTTACAGCATGGCGACAGTCACCTTGGCGTTCGCTGAGTGCCACCCTGGGAGCCTCCTGGCACTCCGTGGCATCATTCAACTTGCTCAGCACCTGACTCGTACCTGACAGAGCCAGGTAATGGATATGATTCATGTAACAGAGTATGGTTCATTCCTGGGGTATATGGCAGGTATGAAACTTAAGGGTTTCTGGCAGAGGTTCAGTGGAGGTATTGGGCTTCATCTCCATATCATTTCCATTTGCCCCCCATTGAAACAAGTCAGTTTTTGCTGCAGTCTCATCAATATACTGTTGCTTTAATGTGGCAATATGCAATGATCTGTCCAACAGTCAAGCATGTGTTTAAGTTAAGATATTGCTTGCTTATACATTTCAATACATTTTAAAGGTGAAATCGCAAGTTCAAAGCTCACGAACACTCGAACATTTCTCAGTCCTTGTCTCCTCTGGTGTCACCCTTGAGTTTGATGAATGTGATGCAGTTGGATTAATTCCCAGGGCAGCGATTCAATCTAAAGAGACCCCAGGTGCTAGCTTTGCTAAACAAACCTGACTGCCTCGACTTTACAGTAGCCCTGTACAAATTTGGACAACAAGCATTTTACCCCAGCATGAACAAAGACTTCTGCGCCACGAGCCAGAAGCCCTGTAAAGTGTCTATCCCTGGCATCCTGTGTGGTGTCACTCTGAGCCCCTGAGGCCATGGTTCATGGTGATAGAGCCAGGTAATGGATATGATGGATGTTACACAGCTGGGTTCATTCCTGGGGCACACACTGAATAGTGATGAAGAAGGACCGATTCTGACACTGCTCTCACCAGGAAAACATCACAGTTAACCTCAGGGTAACCTCTGACTTGCTGACGGGTTCAGACTTGAAACCATCCTGCTTTTAAACAACATAAACTTGGGGATTCAAAAAAAAAAAAAAAGGAACTACACATTGTAGCCACTGGATAACTTCTCTGTAAAAGTGCTGTGGTCAGTAGCTGTTATTTTTAAATCTGCGCTTGCATTGGGTGAGGGGTGTTGAGTGAGTGTCGATGTTACCTCTGTGGACTTTATTTAATGCTTTAAATCCAGGGATGCAGGGGTCTGATCCACTGGATTTGACCAATTCATATAACACTTTCTTCCACACTCATCATTCAGTCACTTATGGCAACTTTGAGTTTTAGCACCACCACAATCCCTGATCTCATGTTACCTAAAAACAATCAGAATGATTCCACATATTGAGATGTACAGTTTTTAAATGTGCAAAGAAGAGAGGGCTAGAATCAGATAGGTACTCCGAATCTACAGATGGATCAGTAACGTTATTGAGAGAGAAAAACATAAGATCAGTGCATCCCGATCGAAACTCGATCTCAAATTGGCACTGTGTGTGTGTTTTTAAGTGAGTATTTCAGTGTGTTATTTTCTCACCTCCACTTTGTGTGATGTAGCGCACCCATGGTAACGCCTGGTAACCGCTCTTCTCTATGATCTTTAGGTAACGCACCTGAGAAACGCAGACAGGTTAAATGCAGTTATTTCACTCACTGATACACAAACACACACTAACATCATCTGTACAGGTTATACTGTGTGTGCTTCACTATGTTCCCAGCAGCTCACTTATCGCAGATGTAAATAATCGTTGTCCAGTGAAAACCACGTATCTCCAACTGTGATTTTTGAATTTTTCAGATAAACTGATGGGATTCATTTTTCTTCTTCTATTTCTTTTGAAGGTAATTTGTGATTTGTTGTATCCTCCAATCTGCCCTCAAGATATAGTGCAGAGGACGTATTATAACCTCTTGTATCATAAAGACATCGATGGCCAAAGCTCTTTGTCAAGTGACAATCAGCACCACTGGCTCCCAGCAAGAAACCACAGATTAATAGCTCCTTCAAAAGCTGATTTGATTATAAGTAAAACTGAATTTCACAGTGTTGAAAACTAAGAAGTTTCATTTTGGAGATGCATGGTTTTCACAGGGCAGCAATGAAATGTACGAAGGTAAAACTGAAGCAACCCAAGTTCCTTACACTGAAGTGGGTAAAATCATATATATTTCACACAGTATATATTTATTCTTTAATTATCATTTTGTGTCAGTTCTGTTTCATTGTGAAGATTTACCGCCTGAGCTGTGACGAAGTGTATGAGGGGATTTTAAACAACAGGAACTTGCAGGAATGTGAGAAGACTTAATAAGTTATCTGTTTAGTCTAGTATTAGTAACAACCATTTGCATCCTCATCACAGTGCAGCCACCTGTGAATGTGAACCGGTGCGTTGTTCAAACTGTGGTCAAACAAGAAACTAGGATTTAAAAAAAAAAAGGGTCCTACCTGAATTCCAGACACAGTGAAATAGGGGATCTCAAAGTTAACTGTGATTGGTCTCTTGGCCTCCAGTTCATCACTCTCCACACTGGGAAGCCCAAAGTGTGCTCGCATAATGTACTCCTTACCACCCTGCACACACACACACACACACACACACACACATACACAAACAAACAAACAGAAAAGAGAAAATGCCAGTGTTGTTACTGTGTCAGTTAAAACATTCAATTTCGAGATTAGACCGTTCTGTGTGTTTGATGAATTCTGTTCTCAGGCATCAAACTCCAATTAATGCACGGTTGTTTTGTCCAAAATCAAAACAAACTTTATATTCATGGCAATGTGAGACAACTCCCATGTCACATCAGGGTGAATCAGACATCCATTTATGGGATTTTATCATTTGCCAAACATATCTAGGCCATAAAAACATAAAACAAGTTAATCATTGTTTCTTCCAGCGATTGTGCAACACATTAACTGAACACTCAGTTTGTGAGTTTGTCCGTTTGTTTTACTTGCTGGAAATCAGTTACCATTTTTGACTTTAAAACCCATGAAACTTTGGTTTCAAACCACTATTTTCTCTGTAACAGTTAAAATTTGTGACTGAATGAGCAACAAAGTTAGAGTTTAAAACATGACAAATTATCCCAGTTGTGTAGGTGTGGGTTTATCAGCTTTGATTGGCAGTGGCCTGGTAATAAAAGCAAACAACCCACCAGTTGTCATCATTGTTTTCAAAGGTTGTAGGTGTGTGACATCACTCATTTCCAGCTGAGCCCTGCCTACTTCAAATCAGTGAGAAGAGCTCAGACAAAAACAAATACAGAAGCTTTCTCCATGGAAATAACCACAGCTGTTGAAACATTGGCAGAGTATTGTGTGTTCATGTAGAGTCCTGTCTCCCATAATAAGAAGCTGATTGAGAAAATAGAGCTTTAATAAACTGAAAAACCACTTTCATAAAAAAGCTCCTTTGCTGAACTATCATTTTAGCTGCCATTAAACAGATTTGGTGGAAAACCTTATTATCCTTTCTAGTAAATGGAGTAATTTTTAAAAGCTTTCTACACTCCCCTTGTTAAGGAAGGGTGATGTTTGTAGAAGAGTTTTAAATAAATGGACAGAGCTGAAGACCGATGGGCGGTAGATTAGTGTGTTTATCTCTCTCTTATCACATTAAAACCGCTGCTTTATATTTGTTTCCTCAAAACGCCATCAAACATTACAAGTTAACTGTGATTTCCTGTTAGAATATGTAATTTTACAGCATTCAAAGGTCGACGATGACGGAGAAAAATGTTCTGCAGAATAACGGTGTGTCACCAGTAATGGCAGTTCTTAACCCTCCTTGACAAGCTGAAGGTGTAATGAATTACTGAGGAGATATCGGAACTTGACAGATAAAGGAACCTAAAGTGAATTAATGGTCTATGAGGTTTTTAAAAAGGCATTGACATTTTCTTTTGAGGAACTTTTATTTTGGAGATGGGAACTGAAGCTGAAAAAATGTGTGTGCGTGTGTGTGTGTGTGTGTGTGTGTGTGTGTGTGCGTAAAGGGAAGTTGATCATAACGTGATAAACTGCTGTTTGTTGTTTTGTCTGTCACAACACAACTTCATTATCAACACTGGAACTGTTTCAAACTTCTGTAGATGCGATGTATCATGTCTTTGTCATTAAAACCTGATAGTGATGGAAACAAGACAGCACTGTTCTGCAGCGTCAACATGAATATGAATACATAAATGTATTTCAGGCTCACTAACAGGGAAAGACTTGATGTTCCACTGCACCACGTTCTTCTCGGGCACCCACTTGGCGCTGCCCGTGCTGGTCTTGAACTTGGGTGAGTCAGCATCACTGGGCACTGGCACCATAATGGCCACGTTGTTGGCAGTGGACCGACTCTTGAACTGACTCCGAGCCTGCAGAGGGCGACAGAGGACAGAGTTCAAATGTCACCTGAAACCTTTACAACAAAAAAGAGCATACGCATCCAAGTTCACATCATTATGCACGCTGCAGCTTGTTATTTTGAGCGTGTGTGGCCGTCACGGCATCGAACAGATGGTGAGCTGTGATCCGCCTGAGATGCATCCGTCATAAATACTAAATACGTCTGAGTGAAGGGACTAGACGAGTGAATAAGGGCATAGTCCCCTGTGCTGTATGTGTGTGTTTATGTTTGTGTGTCACTCATCATTACCTTCACCTTGATCTCCACACGGCTGTGAGAGAACTTCTCAATCACACTCTCGATCCATATGAGAGGCTTCACCTGTCGGAGGGGGGGGGGGCAAGGTCAGAGGGGTGAGCATCGCGCTGAAGTGCATCACTACAACACACTGTGTGTATAAGTGACTTTTACCACTGCTCTTTAACATTCCCACTGCCACAAGCAACAGCACTACAAACATCACTACTGCTGACCTGAATTCACTGCTAATCTAATTAATTCTAAAACCATAAGTTGTCATACTATTACTACTGCTGAACTATTCCAGCTACTATCATGACCACAACCACCACTACAACTATCAACACAACACCGGTAATGCCACTGAATATCATATTATCTGATACAAATACTAATCGATATTTGAGAGTTTGAAAAAACTAAAAACTAAAAAGAAACAGATGATGATTTATTGGCAGATATTTGTTTGTTTGTTTTTTTTAAACAGAAACACTTAAACCTGCAATAACTGATTTTTTTTTTTTTGGATATCTGGGGAAAGTGGAAAACACTGATATAATATCACAAACTGATATGGCAGACTTGTTAGGAAACAGTTGCTTATCCACTCATTCAGCAATTGTGAGTCGTGTTTGTACATGTACTGTATATGTGCACAGGCTACAAACAGGTCCGTGATGGTGTCTATCAGTCGGTCAGTCTCTGATCAGCATCGCTATGTGTAGACAGTGTAAATGAACAGTGTAAATGTTCATGTTATGTTTTGTACAAGGATAAAAATATCATAAGGATAAACATTCTTGTGATGGTATATGAGCAGATATGTGTGTGTGTGTGTGTGTGTGTGTGTGTGTGTACTCACTGTAGTGTTAAGGCGGTAGGACATGAGCTCGCTCTCGCCATCAGGTGGGATGAAAGAAATGGTGCGGTCGTTCTCGAAGCGTGACAGACGGACACACTGATGGAACTTCACATCCTCCAGCTCCACTGTCTTACTCTTCTCTCCTGACACACACAAACACACACGCACAAACAACACACAAAACAGAAAAAAAAAAAGATTGAGAGCTTTCCACGCTGCCTTGGGGAAATCAAGGTCAAGGTAATGATGACTGACAAACATTCACTCAGTCTCCTTCTCCTTCTCTTCTTACACACACACACACACACGCACACACACGCACACACACACGCACACACACACGCACACACACACACACACACACTGTACGCGCAGTGTGCTACCAAATCCATCTGCCCTCTTCTTGTCCCCCCACTGAACTATTATTTAGCTGCCACACACACACACACACACACACACAGTATGCCATCAGAACATGCTGCCGTCATCTTCTCCCCTACTGAAGCCCATTTAGCTGCCTCACAAATCCATCCACACCTGCACTAACACACACACACACACACACACACACACACACACACACACACACAAACACACAAGAAAATAAATAACTATAAATAACTATTGAACTATCACCCATAAACAAAAACACACATCTGTTACTGTATTTAAGGAGTTTTTTCATTTCTCTGCCAAAAAACCTACAATTTGATTTGTTGTCAAAAGCTTCTGATTTATTTTTTGTGGAATGAATCCAGCCACTACACTGATATATGACTTTATTATGGATTTATTTACACCTATAAGGAGATGTCAGTGTCCCGCCCACTGTATCACTAGTAATGTCACTACAAATGTACACAACCATTTATTGTAATGAATTTGTGCCTATAAGCTGCCAAACACAGAGGAGATATTCACTGAGAATTACTTAAGAAGATGGTATTCTCACAACAAATCAAACTATCCACAACTCACTACTATTTTCATTGCTGACTAATCTGTAGATTACTTTTTTCAACAAATCAGTGAATGGTTTAGTCTTTAAAATGTCGGTGAAATTGAGAAAAATTGCCATCACAATATCCCGTAACCCACGGTGTTGCATCAAGTATTGAAGCTTTGTCCGATCGACACTGCAAATCCCAAAACAACTTTTCATTTACAGTGATTATAAAACAGAGACAAGCAGAATTGTCTGTTGATCAACTCTTCAGTTCACATCTAGTATAGAGTTGTGTTCATCAAAGAAATGCTCTCCCTTTTAACCCATATCTTTAACGCTAGGGTCCTACAGAGGCTGCCGTGGACGAGAATCGGCAGATTGTGTCGACTAGACCATTTTCCTTGTTGACAAAATCAGACTTTTCCAGACAACTCCTCTCAAGGGTGGAGCACGAGATGTGGGCCTGCTGCAATAGGCAAGTTAAAAGCATGACCTCTTTAATGGAGGTATCTGTAGTCTCAGCTCAATGTTCTCCTCATCTGTGGCTAATGGAGGGTGCTGAGTGGTGGAAAACCGCTGTAATGACTGTGGGCCTATGGGCCTTCAGCTAAATCCCCCATTCAACAGTCAGCTAAAGCCCCAGTTCACCTGCTCTGAATGCAGCTCTGGACCGGGCCTGTCTGACAGAATGTGTGTGTGTATTTGTTGTAGCTTCCTTCTTCATTGTTCTCTCTCTTGAGTGTGTGTATGTGCAAGGGTTTATGCACGCATGTCTATTGATTTTGCTTTAATGTGTGTGTGTGTCTGTGTGTGTGTGTGTGTGTGAGAGAGAGAGAGAGAGAGAGAGAGAGAGAGCGACACTTCCTCATGCGTGAATAGGGACTGGCTGAGGTCAGGTCTAGAGAGAGCACAACACTCCTACCTAAGCAAAGCAGGGAAACCTTTTAGAAATGCTTCTCTCCTTCTGTATGTCACTAAAACACACACACACACACACACACACACACACACACACACACACACACACACACACACACACAGTACACGTACATTTTACACTCACTTGCGTGCATGCGGTGTTATCAAGACGAGACAAGAAAGAAAGGTCAAATGGGACGCTCTCTGTCATTGCTAGGACCTAAGGGGCCGGAAGAAGAGACAGGTGTGTGTGTTCATGTCAGGGGAGGAGTGAAGATGCAGCACCGTCCCCTGTGGTTCACCTTTATGGCTGCGCTCACATGTTTCCATGCTGTTAATACACAGCAGCAGACAGGGGGAACCTAATCTGTTTTCTGTCTAATGTCTCAAAGGAAAAAAAAAAAAAAAGGAAACAGGAAACAAGCTTTATAGTGACACTCGGTGAATGTTTCTGCCTTACAAGAGCTTTGTGTGGCCTCAGGGACAATTCAATTAACATTTCTTAGCACTTGGAGGTCAGAGGCAGAGAGTATGTAGCCAGCAGAGCTAAAAGTGGATTATCCACTCCATAGGTAAACAACTAATCAACTATCAAATTGTGGCAGATTAATTAAGTCATCTTTCAAGCAAAGACGTCAAACATTTCTTGGTTCTATCCTCTCAGTTGTGAAGATTTACTGCTGCTCACAGAAAATATCTATGTTTGCCTCCGTGTTTTATGATCTGCTCCTATTTTAAGTTGCGGTTAATAGAAACCCAACTTTCTCCATGTTTACCTGTTGTCTTGATTAATTCAGTGGGCTGTAATGTATACATTATACATTGGCTAGTAGCGAGAGGGTTGCCGTGTTACGTAACGTTATGTAGGTGTGATAAGCTACAGCTTCAGCCTACACCTTTTCGGCCAATATTGACATATTTTATTTCGATGTGTATTTACTATGTATAAATATCAATAAGGACCAAAATGAAATTGAACTGAACTGAACTGTATGTTTCCACAGCATTTATTCCATCAGCACAACAGAGTCATATCATGCTCTAACTTTCGCTTCTCTTCTCAGAAAAGCTGTTCTCGCTTACTAATTTAATTCCACTTCATCATGAAAGAGAACCTTTAAACAAAACAAGTAATCTGAAGATGTCACTTTGGGTCTTTTTTTTTCACTGGTCTGTATCATTATATGAACAAGATGAGGAGCTGAGAAAATAATCAGCAGATTAACTGATAATGAAAATAGTTGCAGCCTTAACAGCAAGAAGTGAGCTCATACTGTCCTAATACAGGCTCAGAACTATTTTATTTTTTGAGAAAAAAACATAAAACTCCCCCAAAATCAAAAACTGACAATAACAAGATTCGAACAGACAACATCGCTGAGAAGTAATTGTGATTATTCTCAGGCAGCTGTAGACTCTAAATGACCAGAAAGTTCAGATAAAAGAGTAAATGTTTGAAAAAAATAATGTCTAAAACTGGCTTTTAAAGGTTATGTAATTCAATGTATTAGTTTTCAGTTAGTAAATAATATAAATGTAACTTGTATGACATTAATTTTAGTTCTGTAAAGTGATAGTTCTGGATTTCTGCCAGCAGAGGGCAGTGTTTCATGATTTATACTAATTCATTTCAGCTGCATCCAGCTGTGATAAAAAGTGCACATCATGCAAATATGTTAATCACCAAATGACTGGGAAATGATATGTAAAAAGTGGAACTGCTGAAGCTTAGAGTGCAAAACACATTTTAATATTTGTATCAACATTCAGCGTGAGTGTGGGTGTTTCTGTATCTGTCTGCGTGTTTGTTTGATCATTATTTGTGATCATTATTTCTGAGGATATGTTATTTCCCAGACTGCAACACACAGCGGGGGAATTGTGGGCTGCATATACAGGATATTCACAGACCCTCACCTTTCATCTGCAGGGCTGTAGCCCGGGGTGAGGATTAACTCAGAGGCAAAGAGACTAGACAGTGATGGAGCCTTTCCCCTTCAGTAAAGAGCCGTAGGGGGGAAGAAATGTAGAAAGGGAAAGGGCGGAAAGGGGGGAGAGGAGGAGGTGGAGGAGGAGAAGGCACAAGGATATGCACGGGGAGATGTAGCAGCGGGAGACGTTATTGGAAAAATTGGGAAAGTGGAAGGAGAGGAAAAAGGAAGATGAAGGAGGATGAAAGCTAAGCTGAGTGTGGGATTGGGAGAGTGAGGGGTTAAGATGGAGAGAGGAGGTGAAGGTGGAAGAGTCAGGGTGAACTCACGGTGAATAGTGAGTGAGAAGGAAAGTATTCAACCATCAACTAGCAGCATATTTGCAAATCATTTTTAAACAAAATTTATATAAGGTACAAAAGATCACATGTTGAACTTATGACCTCTAACCTGATGCCACTGGATTTTTATAAAATAATGCTGCCTCATGAGCAGATTTGATGTATTTACTGCTCATCAGGCAGCACAATTATTTTGTCAACCTAAATACTAATACCTGTAGGCACTGAGACGGACTCACTGTTACTTACTGCCTGTGATTTCAAACAGCACTTTGTCATTGAGCCCCAGTCTGAGTTCAGGCATCCCCGACAGGACCACTTTGAGCTTAATGGTGCCCACTATTTCACTGCGCAGGACGCTGCCGTTGGCGCTCACCTACAGGAAGAAGAGCATTGTGATCATTATTAAATATCTTTTCATGGCTATGATATCAGCTTTACAGTCAGATCTGCTCAACTGTGCACTTTAAGTTGCTTTATTTCAATAATGATACTACAGAGATCAGCAGTAGGACAGAATCACAGGCATAAACAAACCGACTGACACCTAGAACAATGTTTCAGCAGACATAAACAGACTGAGGGACAAGACTGAAAGACTCTCAGCAAGCAGTGTGAGAAATGTAAGCAGTGTGACACTGGTGAGTAAGAGGACGAAAACACTCTGAAACATTTTTTAAAAGTCCCTAATCACAAAAAAGGAAGTGGAAGCTGCAGTGCTCTTACAGTGGTTAACCGTATACATCTTATCAGTTTCCCCCCGACTCATAAACACCAGCAGTATAATGTTGATTATCCATGAGGTGTTGCTTCAAAGACAGGAAATTTGAGAGGAAAGTCATTCCTCTTCGTTGTAGCATTGAAAGATGCAGCATGTTCATGTATACAAATGTGCTCTGTTTCTTTTGCTGCAGGAGTCCTTGTCTACACTCCTCAAAGGGGCTATTTGTACGTTTTCTCTGCCGACGAACGTGGTTACTTGGTGATGGCTGTCGCTTGACAGGAGCCATCGTTGTCTTCATAATACAAGAGGTCATAATACGTCATCTGAGCAGTGCTATGTTTTCAGGGCGGATTGGAGGCTATAGTGAGTCGCTATCGGAAAGTCACAAGACGGACAAGACAAAAACCTGATGTATCCTATAATGTAATTTATCTGCTGAGTTTACTGACTAACCTTTGAAATACACTGGTAAGTAACTCATCACTGTACACAATGAAGAAATGTAATTACTATGACATGCTACACTGAAAGAGAATGGAGGATTGTTGCTATTAGAAACCACTTCCTTAGAAATTCAATTCAAGGAAAGAGGAAAAGTATTTGGAGGAGTCAAAACATGTCAGGGTTTTGACAGAGACGATTTTAGCACCGACACAACCATTTAGCCTCACCACACACAAACACTTCTATTTCAAACACAACTGCTCAAGAAAATTTATCAGTGGGGTATAAAAGCCGGATAATAATGGATAAAGAATGAACAACTAATGCTGTGAAATTTCTTAACATGACCTGTTTGAGCTGTTAATCTGAGTCATCCAGGCATCACAGAACAAATCTTTAGTCCTTGGATGTGTAATTTCCTCACAATTCATCACTGAACATCGAGTGAATAAATTGCCTCATTGTACAGTTTTTACTGGGGCTGCACAATATGTAGAATATTGGCGAATAGCAGCGTAATAACGGATCTTACTGGTGTTGGGAAAATCATTTCTTTAACGTCAAATATCCAAAAGTGTTGGCCGCTTTCCATCCTGTTCACTGGGTGATGAATGATATCCATGTAATGCTTTTGATAAAAGACATGCTGCAGCTACTTTCTACAGTATGGTGCACCCCTGTGATAAGTCTCCAACGTGCAGCCCTGCGCAACATCTACTTCACTGAGCTGCACGATTGAATCTGATTGTGAGACTAGAAACAAGCATTCACAGACACACTACATTATTTGTACTAATTCCCAACAGCATGGCAACTGGGCCATAAAAACTTCATTTTTAAATGGAAGTTGACTGATACTATACAGGCTTTCTACTAACATCCTCAGCAAATGTAAATCATGTATAGGATGATCAGCAATGATAAATGTAATACAAATTAAAGCGACAAAAAAATCTAAAATCTCTGACTTTGTCAACTTTTTCTCCTCACCAGTAAATTTACAGACTCAATGACGTCCATGAAAACTTCGTTCTTCCTGTACTTGATGCCCTCCGACCGCCAAGACACTGCGTTGGTGACGGTGGCAGGAGGTCGAGGAGCCCCGACTTCTAATTTATGACCCTGCTGGGTGATATATCTGAAAGAGACAAAAGGCAGAGAGATGTTTCAAGGGGGGTCAAACTGTTTCCAAATTCAGTCTGTAACTCTGCTCAGCGGAAGACCTGAAAAGAACATGCAGCAGCAGCAGCAGCAGCAGCAGCAGCAGAAAGTGCTGCTGCTGCATGTGTTAAATTATAATTTAATTTCTCAGTCGCCTTGGAACATCTGCAGAGGGGAGTAACATTGTTTAAGTGTCGTCAACAAAACTCTTACTAAAAGAAATCTAAATAGGAAATGGCAACAAACAGGATGCGTTAGCAGCAACATGAACCCAATCTCTCTAGAGGAATGTGTGTGTTTTTTTTTTAATACTTTGTATTAATCACACCTCATGACTTAAACTAAATTAGTTACTCTAGAGTGAATAAATTAAAGGAGCTTGTGTTGTATGAAGATTATTCATGGATGTAATTAGAAAATGAAGATTGACATGAACCCATTGTGACTCCAGCCCAGATAATAATGTGGCTTACATGCATTTGCTTACATGAAACCACACTGTCAAGTAGGCTATTGCTTTTGTAAATGAAACACCTGCATCGAGTGGCTCAAAAGGTTTTTTGAGACACCTGGAGATGCCGGAGCAGCTTTAATATGCTTCGATTTTTCAAGAATTTAAACCTATACTTATTTAATGTATTTATTTATTCATTCATTTGATGGTGGAAAATCTTCTTCGTCTGTGTTTGGAGGTGTGTTTCTGGCCATTTAAGTCTAGTCTTTTCAGCTCTGTTCTTCAGCTACAATGTACTCCACTAAGTTCACCAGCTAGCTGCTAATGTTGTCTGTGACAGTCTGGGCAGGTAGTGGACAGTAGACTAACAGGCACTCCTTAAAGCTTGGAGGAACTGCAGAGTCTGCTGAAGACTCTCTCTGGGTTTATCACTATAAGCTAACTCACATTACACAGAGTCATTTGATCCATTGTTAATATAAAAATATTGATGTTGCAGCTTTAAAAAAAAAATATCATTAGATTCATTAACTTGCCCTGCTCTCCACTTAATTAGATCAAGCCTTGACTGTGGAAAACACAAATCTATTTAATCTATTTATACATCACTGTTGATTCATCCATTGATCTATCCAGTAACTGTGCACTGGGTTGTCTCCTAGTTTCTTGGTGCACAAGCCGCAGAGCTGGTTTATTTTACCAGTCCTCTCCGACTGTGTCCAGGGAGACATAATGACTTGTCATGAGAATAGAAGGGAGCTGTACTTAGACAAACAACATGTGACCAGGCCTGTTTTTACCCAAACACCTGCCCCCCATCACTGTTTATTTCTCACTGGCCTCATTTCTCCTGCAGAGCAACTGCAAAACCCAATCCGTTTTCCCTGGAATATCATGTCTGAAACAGTTATTCCAGTTTTGGATCTACAATTTTTTGTATTTTTGTGTTTATATAGATATTTCAATCTCAGCTTTGTTCTTTGATCAGTGTTTCCCCTAGGTTGACAGCTTCATGGAATATTTTGGCCTGACTTTCAGACGCTTCGGGTCGACGTATGTCCATCTATGGCTTCAAAGGGATTTATAACACTGCATGAAAAGTTTTTATTGCAATTAACATGACAAGCTGTCAACCTCTCTCTCCTCTTCTACACTGCATGTGCGCGGAGAGTCTGAGACACACAGTGAAACAGAAAGCAGACTCATCACTTAAAACAGCCATTAGTCATTTCCCTACAAATGACTTATTTGTACAGTGAGCTAGACGGGCATTTCAAGACTCTTCGTTACAAACAAATTGGTGCAATTAACGTGCACTTGAACCAGCTGTGGAGGTTGGGGTTTAACAATCACACGAGTACATGATGCAGATGTTGCGTCGCCAGGTGCCTTCGATCTGCTTAAGTTCAACTCTGCCGATTGTTCAAATTGAAATATTTTATACAGCTAACACAAATAAGAGGATTCGCATCCAACCTGCACTATCTCTGAAGTAATTTCTCATCTTCGCCCTTTGTGTTCAGGTCCTCTGACCCCTCCTCTCCCCCTTGTCTCCTTTCCTGTTTTCAGCCGTCCCTCACCTTGTCTTCTCCTCCCCAGGTCTGGGTATTTTCCCCAGAGTCAGTGACATACTGACCCACTGTTCCACATGAATGTGTTGTCCTCAAGTTCCTCTTTCGCAAAAAAGAGGAAAAGGTGCAGTAGCAACAACAACACCATTTCCATGACTTACAATTACATTTTTTTTTTGTGTGTGGCTGTATCTGTTTAGAAAATCCTGCAGCCCCAAAACATCTGCCTACAACAAGATGGGTGGAGTGATACAGCCACTGAAACTGTGTTGATGCAGACAAGGGCACAGTTCAATGTTATTACTTATCTTTCAATGAAACTGTGCTCCAGATTATTATGACCGTCCTGCATGATGTCCTGTGTGTGTATATGAGGCCCTTCCTTTGACTAAATACAACAACTGGAATCATGTGTGTGTTTCTAATTTGCAGTTTTCTAATTTAGAGATGGGCTGCACACAGTTATTTACAGGTCAAACAGCGTGGGTACTAATAATGTGCCCAACTTGCTCCAGATTCCTTACCAGATGGCACTGAGCTTCTGGAAACCAAACTTGTTAGGAAACAGTTGCTTGTTTTTACATCCAGCAGTCGTGGAGCAGCATTATCATTCATTTAGAGCTGTGTTTCTGGCCACTTGGTGAACGTAAGTCCAATATTCACTCTCTTTTAGCTCTGTTTTGCTCTCTACCAGTCCCTGAGGGAAATATCTGGTTTTAGCTGCTAAATGCTCCACTAGTTGCTACCCGTGTGTGTCTGTTGTTTGGTGCTGGGCGGGTAATCTGTGCGATCGGTTTTTAGAGCTTTATCTCTGAAAACAGTTGCCTGCCAAGGCCGAACACTTTGAGAATGGCAGAAGTGGAAAAAAAGTGAAGTTACTAAGCGAACAGTTAAACAATGATCTGAAACCCATTATAAACTTCCATAAAGCTGAGGGGAACTGCAGAATCAGGTGCTATCTCTCTGTAAGAATAATGATAATAAACTCTATTTATATAGCACTTTTCCTAACAAAATTACAAAGTGCTTTAAAAACAAAATCACCAAAGATGTTAAACAATAAATGAATAAGATGAAATAAATAAGAATAATCAGTATTAACAACATCTGGTGTGAAACATTTCCAAAGACTTTCCCAAAAAGAAAACTTTTAAGAAGGGATTTCTTATTATTATGAGGGCAAAACCAGGTCAATAAATCAGAAAGGTATATGGGAGCAAAGGCCTTACAGGCAGGCAGTAAAATTTTTAAAATCAACTCTAAATTTAACAGGGAGCCAATGTAGAGAGGTAAGGACAGAGGCGATGTGATCATGCATCTCTGTCCTGGTAATAAGCCTGGCAGCAGCATTTTGAACCAAATGGAGATGGTGGAGGGAGCCCTGGCTGAACCCTGAGTAAAGTGCATTGCAATAGCCAAGCTGTGAAGAGATAAAAGCATGGGTTCGTCACTGCGAACGACTTCTTTGAGTTAACTGTCCGAGTCATGACCCATGAGGCCAATCAAAGACTACTGAACAAACACAAAACAAAGCAAACACTAATAGAAACGTCTTCTTTTTTCAGTTCAACTGTACATTTCCCATTTAATGTCAGCAACAAAAAAGTGCTCAATAGACAAAATTTAGATTGACTGACAGATTGAGGTAAAATTTTCTCCCTCGTTTTCCGTCCCAGTTCCTCCCACCTAGAGGGTCTAGGATGCATGTTGACACATAGCAAAGTCTGAAAGTGCTGAGAGATGAAAGGCGGTGACAAGTGGGCTTGGGGTCGACGTTGGGTTGTTTTGTTGCCGTGCTGTTTGTTCTGTTTTGCCCTGATTCTCCTCAGAAATGCTAATGAAACGATATGGAAGCTGGGTTGGCAGCAAACTGACAGATTAGCATAACAATAGCAATCATAACAAACACACACACACCACACACACACACACACACACACACACACACACACACACACACACACACACACACACACACAGGTTTATAAGACGACACACACATGAACACCTTCACATGCATATGCATCCTCACAGTCGCACTTTCCCAGTCTCTTGCATCCACCCACACAGACTCAGATACACAGACTCAGATACACACACACACACACACACACACACACACACACACACACACACACACACGTTCACACACATGTTCACACACATCCACACACGTTCACACATTGATACTCTCACCAGGTAGGTAGTATAATGTAAGAGAAATGTAAGAGTGTTTTTGTGGTGGCCAGGGCATGAAAATGTCAGAGAACTGGAACAGCTTGCAGACACAGTGAATGTGTGTTTGTGTGTGTGTGTGTGTGTGTGTGTGTGTGTGTGTGTGTGTGTGTGTGTGTGTGTGTGTGTGTGTGTGTGGGTGTGTGTGGGTGTGCACAACAGTGAGACAACACGTTTGTGTGTCTCCTTGGAGAAGTGAAGAGCAGGGCTTTTCTGTCTGAGAGTCTCGAGTGTGTCCAGCTGATGGTGTCATTGTGTTTGAGTGCCAATAGGAGCCTGGTAATTATCAGCCCTATTCAGACCCCAAACACACATACTGTACACAAACACACACACACACACACACACACACACACACACACACACAAAATCTCAGCCAAGCCCTGGTGCACAAACAGCACAGAAAATTAAACATCAATCACACATTAACAGGAAAAGCCCAATTACATGTGAAACAATAAGGAGTAAAGAATATACCAAATATGCAATATTTCAAATATACAGTTAACTGTTAATCAAAGTCAGAGCCGATCATGTTACTGTGGTGTTGCAGGCTTGCTATCGAGTGAATGCTGATCTATTTCCTGAAATTCAAATGCCTCTCAAAAGGAGCCAAAAAGCAAAACAACCACATGTACACCGAGAACACAAAACACTTGTGGAGCCCAAAAATAGTAGTTGTCTCAGTTCATTTCACTCACTGAATAACGCTCCACCATTCATTATAGCTTTAGTCACCAGCTGTACTTGAATGAAAGGAAAAAAACAAACAAAAAAAAACAAAAAACAAATAGGCCCATAGCACTTCAAACAGAATCATAATGTGCTCTTATTCCCTCTCTCCTGCTGGTCACTTACATTATAAAATATGAAGCTATTATCTCACTGAAAAACTGTCACATTTTGTTCCCTGATGGATGATGCAGGTACAATTTGAGCTAATGTGGCTGCATTAAAATCAGACTGAAGTGCAGAAATTATGGTCTTTGAGAGTTTGAAACTTTAACCTTATACCATTATCCCTTCACCAGCCTGACTGGTCCTCCCCTTACATGCCAGAACACGGTGTCCACACACAGAATTGATTCAACTTTTGTCAAGTTCTCATGGCACAACCTTTAGGAAAACCAGATCTACAACGACTGCTTCACTTTGAAGTTCTGTCACTCGTATCTAAGATCCAACCTGTGCCGAGATATTAAGTTTCTACACATAATCATACTAGTAGAATTTTATTGCATGGAGGACTATCATAGATTGAGTAATAATTGTCTTACTCTTGTAGGATCTTGCTGTCAGTTGTCTGAGGGAAGCCGAAGTCCATCACTTCGTCCATCAACTCGTACACTGTCACAAAGTTGTCGCGGATGCTCTCCTCCTCGAGCTCCTTAAAGTACTCCTTAAACACCTGCACGTAGAAACAGGAATACTTAGTTTGGGATATACAGTACTGTACATTAAATGAAAAAATAAGGTTTATTACATGCCAATTATTTGACTGTATTTTCATGTTTTTTTTGTATAGTGTATCGTAGGTTGGCAGAGGAAATCTCTGCCCTCTGTTGGCTGTATTCATGAATCAATTCAGAAAGCCATGAGAAGGTGCATTTCTTTAATTAACCATTAACAGTTTAAACCTGTTGATTACCCGTTGACTCACTGCTGAGTTAAAATATACATGAACAAAATAATAAAATAATGAATGAAATAAAATAAAAAATAAAAAAAGAACATGAAAAAACGTGGTGAAAGGTCTCACTTTTTCCATTACTTTTTATATCTGAACAGTTTATCGTGCATTGTTGTTGCTATAGAAGAGCCTTATTTCAGCCAACATGATACAGATCCTCACTAATAGAAGTAGAATCAGGCTGGCTTGGTCATTAACACATTTCAACACAAACTGCAGAGGGCTGCATTACAACTTTACAGCTTTTCCCTTCCCATGGTTAAAGGTTATAAAAGTAGTTTGACATTTTGGGAAATGTGCTTAATTACTCTTGTGCCATAAGATAGATGAGACAATTGACTGGACTCCAATACGTGTGCGGTAAATATGAAGCTACAGCCACCAGCCGCTTAGCTTAGCATATTTTAGCATAAAGACTAGAAAGTGGGGGAAACAGCCAACCTGTTTTTGTCCAAAGGTAGCCACGAAAACATCTCCCAGTGCCTCTAAGGCTCACAAATTAACGTGTAAAAAAAAAACATTTCCAAGCCAGTTAATTTCTTGGTTTGGCAAGCTCACAGTGGCCGCAGGAGTCCAGGTAGTCACTGCTCCTAACCAAAAAGTAGTCCAGCACATAACGTAACGTAGTTTTGTGACTTCTGTTTTTATAAGCATATTTAATAAGCATAAGAGTGTGTTTCCCAGGAAGGATTTGGACTCATGTCTCAGAAAAACAGACGCACCTGGATTATTTTATAAAGAAAGGAGTACACGAGAGCAGCGTTGGCATTCTTCTTGGTCATCGCCACCACTGAAGAAAAGACTGTTAAGAAACAACTGCACATTTACAAAATGACAGGCAAAGATTCTGAGCTGAAGAACATGCACATCGATGTAAATCAGAAGCAGACGAGATACAGACATTGGTGAATATCTTTTAGATACTGTGGGTGGTTGTGAGATGAATGCAATGAAATAAAAAAAGTTACCAGAATGCATCACACTCGCAAGCAATTGAGAACATGGCCACAGGGAGGTAAAAGAGCTCAGTTGTCTAATGCAGTGCAGTGGGAATACCACTTACTCACAACTGCAATATCATGCTGAATTAATAATGTGCAAGGAAGTTTGACTGCCCAATCTCACCATGAAAAAAGGAGCAGATACAGGGCATAACACATCACAGTGATTCTGTGTTCAATTTTTCAACTGGCTGTGATACATGATGTGATAAGACAGAAGCTCAGATTCTTCCTATAGCTCTGCAGGCAGCTCATAAAAGAAGCCGTTCAGGTAAATGTATTAGAGGCTGTAAGTCTCTGCATATTTATTCATTTCTCTACAGATATGATAATGAACACCCACGACAGACGGGGAGGTTGTGACACTCTAGATACTCACTCTCGGAAACGGTACTACAGTAAAGTGGTGAATTCAAACAGATCATTACATTCAAATTCTGTTTACTACAGCAAAAGCCCCTTCGCAACAGATAAAACAAAGCACATTAATCAGACATGAACTCAAAACGGATACAGTAAAGGTTGCTGTGTTTGATCCACATGAAGTGCGCAGAGCCATGGCTGACCAGCGGCGTCATCTCAGCCTCTTCTTCCCTCTTCATCAGGATAGGCATGAAGTGGTCAATCTCATTCATGTCCATGTTCCCCATGTAGTTACGGCAGATCAGCACCTGGATGCATAACAGAAAGAACAAAATATAAAAAAAAATGGTAGAGGACACTATTATGGAGCCACTACCCAGACATAAAATATTTATAGTTTTTGGCTGAAATACCAAGCCTGAGCACTCAACCTTAAAGACGCTTCAAGAACCGCCAGCTGGCTATAACCCTCAACCTCCTGGATGCACGTAATACCCCTTTACAAGTTCATCCACTGAGGAAATGTGCAAACTGTGTTTCCAACTTGAATATCTGTTAATGAATTATGAATGACCAGGTTCTCAACACGGAACAAGTATAGGAGCTTATGCAGACTTTACCAAACACTCAGAAGATTTGAAATTACAGCAAACAAAGGTGCGCAAACTTAAACATAAACACAAATGCTGCTTGAAAGTTTGAGGGCATGTGTTGTCCCTGAACCATGGTGGTCTGAAAGCACATACCATGTAACTGCAACATCCGCAGTTCAGTCCTGGCCAAGGATGTTTCCCTTTGTGTTCAACGGCAGAATAAAGGCAAAAAGCCCAAAAGGTTTTTTTTTGGTTTTTTTTGTTATCAGAGGACATTATACAAACTGGGGTGTCTATAAAAAATTAAATTCACTCCTACACTGTTAAAAACATCCATGTGTGGCATTCAGTCCATTCCAGGAGATATTTTGTTCAGTGTCTCCAAGCAAACAGAGCAGGTGCTGTTATTTTTAGCCATACTAGCAGCGTGGTCTACCACTTTGGTTCTGACTGACTGAAAAATCCTTCTATGAAATTTTGTTCATACATTCTTGACTTGACTTACCCTCTTCACAAGAGCGAGAACCTGTTTGCAATAAAAGGTGGGTGTGGACACTAAAAGTAGGGCCTCATGAGCACATATTATATACTGTCACCAGATAACTTGATATTCCTGCCTTTTGTTTAGTGGACTATCAAAACAAACTGCTGGGTGCAGATATTAATCTAAGACATTCTGACATTTGCTAAACACGCAACAAACTCCATTGTGAACGCACTGAAAATAATACATAGCACCGAAAAGGAACAATACAGATCCAAACAACAACAAAAAGATGACCCAGAACTCAACTTACACAAGACACATAAGACTTTGAACTTATGACAAAATAAACACTTACTTTGTCAAAATGGGCAGAAACATACATGTTCACATCACACAATTGCACAATTAAATGTATTTTCAAACTATTTTGATGCAGTATCAAATTGTGAGTCGCAAGTGTGACTGCTGTAACATTTCCAATCAGCCTACAGTGTTGTTCACAGAAATGACAAGATTAGCCTCAGCCCCGAGAAACCACCACACCCCCTTATTTTAATGGAAACACACACACACACACACACACACACACACACACACACACACACACACACACACACACACATATAACAAGATGAGTCAGCAGTCTTGCTAGAGTCCGGACACACACAGTGAAGTGAAGAAAGAGATCAAAGCTTCTACGCTTGAGGGATCTAGATCTCTCTCTCTCTCACACACACACACACACACTCACTCACAAAGTCCCCCCCCCCTTCTTTAATAGAGGACTGTGTTGCGCAGGGGTCACACAGGAGCAGATGCAACAAAGGCAGGAGGAAATAAGAAATAAAAAAAGGGAAATTCCAGGAACGTAAAGTAATCTGGGGGAGAAAAGAGGATATGAACAGGCCACTGCTCAGCTTCTATGAGAGGAGACCATAGACATAACACCATAGAGCCAGGAGTTCAGAGGTCACCAGAGACACAGAATGAGGTATAGACAAATCTTTGTATCAAAAAGAGCTGCAGTACTGAAGGTCCCTGTAGAAATGTCCAGAGATTCACTTCATAGTTGTGAAGCCAAACTTTGATAGAAAAACATGACAGTAAATATATCCTCTGTTTCTGCCATTATTGTTCCTGGTTATCCCCTCAGAAAGAATTTCAGTGGCAGTTTCTCCACAGATCCGCCTTCAGGACACAAACAGGACGAGATCGGCAGATTTACTTGAGCAGTACTTATTAATGCAGCATACAGTACATACATACATGATAAATATGGATGGATCTACAATCATAGTGTATTTCATCAACAAGCACAGGGTTCATGTTGGTTTGAAATTAGTGCTGAAACGGAAACTGAAATTAGTCGAGCAACGGAAAATTAGTCATCAACAATTATGATAATCAAATAATTTTTCAAGCCACTTATCAAAGAAAAATTCCAAATATCTGCTGATTCAAGCTTCTCAGATGTGACGACTGTCTGCTTTTCTTTGTTTTGTATCAGTGGAAACTGAATATCTTTAGGCTTTAAACTGTCGGTCGACAAAATAAGAAATATGACAACATTATCTGAAAACTGGAATTACTGCCTGACAGTTGTATGCCTTCGCCAACCAGTCCAGTTGCAGTGTATTAATGTGCAGTGTATGCGGTCAAAAATGTGTTTTGTGAGGTCACAGTGACCTTTGACCTTTGACCACCAAAATCTAATCTGTTCATCTTTGAGTCCAGATGAACGTTTGTGCCAAATTTGATGAAGCTCCCACAAGTCGTTACTGAGATATTGTGTTCAGGAGAATGGGGCAGACGGACGTACAGACGCAGGGACGAACAGCCCGAAAACATAACGCCTCCAGGGGCAACTGCCGTGTTATCTGGTTGTGAAACTTTAAAGTTTAATAATAAATGACATGGTATCTGATCGGTGCGTAGACTTGCATACTAACCGATACCCTATACTGAACTTTTAGTATCGGGGGCATTTCCGATACTAGTATCAGTATCAGAACAGCTCTAGTTGCAAGCCTTTATAAAATGGATCACTGGTCCAAAAAACAAAGCACTCATTCACATACCACACCGCCCTTAACCAGGGCCTAAAGAGCATTGCAAAGGGTTAAATAGCTAAATACTACGATTGCACATTAGTGCCTCTAATGTAATGCCACCAATATATCCGTTGCTAGCACTAAACAGTCACATGCACATACCTGAAACCTTTGACTTTGCAGAAATTACTTGTAAAGACCAGTTCTTTTCTGCTTAAGACATCATATAAATGAATCATCAAGTAACATTATCTCACTGTCTTCCAGTCATTCACCTGGGATGAAATCAGACCATACATCGACCAGATTTTTAACAGCTCTATTTCCCATTCTGCTCCCTCCAATCTCCCATTGTCAGTCTACTGATGTGAGTTTCCTTTGCCACTTCTTTCTGAGAGTCACTTCAGTCAGCCAACTCTGCAGCTGAGAAATGGATGATTCACCTCAAGGATATTAAAGAGTCAACACATCAATGTCGTGTTGCGACAGTTTGAACACGTGTCAGTTAAACTCAAGATTAAAAAGGAAAATATCAGATAGCATAGTATATCCAGTAAAGGCAGAGCACCTCACACAAACAGTTAGCATATTTCATGCCCCAAAGCAGAGCGCAGCTACTTAATAATCCAGGTCTACTGTGTATGTGTTACTTCCAAGTTTAAAAACTATACTCTGTTAAAAACATAGTCCAATTCATTTACAAACATCTATTACAAATATTTTTACAGCTCATATCCTTCCATTACATCCCTGAAACCTGATTCTACATGACATTCACATACGACAAGTATGTCAAAGTCCTTTAGATAAAAATAGGCAAGTGTGAAAGTTAATGAGAATATGAGAATGAGGATAAATGAAAGTGAGCAGATGAAAGTAAGGCATGTAATTAAGACAGACATGCTTTTATAAAAGGTACTATGAAGAAAAGTATGAGGGAGAAATGGTTTAGACCTCAAGCAGTCACTATTTAAAATGGCATTTTCTACTGCCATATTAAACAGTTTCTTACTGTGTTGTCCCACTGTAGTTTAAATCTAGAAGAATCTGTATTTGTGATGTTTTGATTGAGTTGCAAAAAGCAACAGCAACAACAACAATCATCTATTAAAACCACTGCTGGACTTAAAAATCATGGGGGGGGGGGGTCATTGCAGGGATTTAGGGAAAGTTTGTCACTGGGAAAGACACAAGGCAATCAGTGACCGAGCAAAATCAATAGGAACCACTCGCTGCTGACCTCTAAAGCCAAATGGTAACCACAAAAGCCCCACTGGAGTGTATCACTGCAAGGCAAACAGAAAGAGACAAAAGTCTAAAAAGCTAGTGCCAGTTTGTATCACCCATCAACAGTCTGGAAAAACAATCACATCACAAATAAACACGTAACGCCATTAGCACTCAGAAAAACACAGCAGAATAATGATGATATTTAGAGTGGTGGGGCTGTTGGAAGTTTACAGTAGCTTACTTGTAGATGAAATAATGGTACAGTGATGACTGCAAAGAGATGCCACTGACTTGGTCCATCAACTGCAACCATTTAACATTGTGCACACTCACAGTACCCCTTTTTTCAGCTAGAGCCTCATTGTAATTGCAGTAGTCCTTACTCAAAACCGGAATAAACCGATTAAACAGATAAGAATCAGTAATTATAATCAGCATTACTGTGGACAATTGTGGTATATTTACATTTGAATTATAATGCACACTGTGATGTATAGTGTCCCTGAAAAAAAGAAATAGAATAGAAATGTAGCTCCTCCTACTCTTTATAATACTATGTCCAAACTCATTCCCTTGCTCACACATTCCCTACATAATAAACACTCAATAGTTTACTCAGGAGTGAGAGGTAAATTGAGATTTCAGACACTTACTTATATTCATTATTTTGCGTCATCACTGACAGCAGGAGAGCTACGTAATCTTTGCATGTGTAAAATGTCGAGCATGGCGTTGTGGGACTGTTAGCAGGAACTAGTGTACATGCTGCAGAAACTACTTTCTTGTTCCACTGAAGAAATTTTTGAGGGCACTACCTCTCAGTATTCGGATACTCAAATAAAACTGCATACAGTAAATACGGTGCTATACATAATATATAGGGAGTGACTTTGGACACAGCGTAAGTGTCTACAGTCAGTGGAGTTATTGTAATTAATCTTGGGGGGGAGGGGACATGAACGTTTTTATCTATTTATCCAATATTCACTCAAAAACTTGGTGGCACCAAGGGAACAGTCAGGGGATTGTCAACGTTATTAAGATTCATCCTCTGGGAACCATGAATGTCTGTACCAATCGATGAGCAATCTCTCCAATAGTTGCTGAAATATTTCAGTCTGGTGGCAAAGCTGATGAAATGTGCTGCTACCTGTGACGACCCAGGACTTCTACTTGAACTTGTGTTCACTTATTAAAAATTCTATTGGGAAGCACTGGGAACAAATGACGCCATGCTGATTTCAATAGCCTGACATTTCAGTCTACATAGCGGGTCCCAGCAGCCAGCAGCGTGCAGTCTGGTGCCCAGGAGCTACAACTTAGAGGGGGTGGAGGGGGGATGGGGGCAGAGGGTGCAAGGATAAAGGGCAGAGGTGGAAACTGGCTCCTGCAGTAGCTGTGTGTTTTCAAGTGAATGTGTGTACTGGAGTGACCTGTCTATCTGTGCCTGACTGGTTTTGGATGATGTCTACAATACTGCCTAGATACAATTATTTTTATCTATGCTGTAAGTTTGAATATATTCAACCCTAACCCATTTTTTATCCCTTTTTTGCATCCGCACCTATAATTGAGGACAGAGGACCTCGTCTGGTCAGGACAGAGGGAAGGAGAGGACTGAAGGTGAAGAGTTAGTGAATTGCCCCAGGGCACAGATAGACAGAGGAGGGAGAAAGAGAAAACCTTTAATCTGAACAATCAGACATGTGGGCTATGCGAGACTGATCCTTTTCCCTGATGGGTATTGTTAGGCATATAGGGACTGTTCAGCAATTCCTTTTCTTGCCTTCAAATAAATTAACCCTGTGAGGTTTATAAAATAAAAATCTGGGAAAATTCAGCGTCCTCTTCTTTTCATTCCATATTACAGTATACATTCCTAAAATTTCAAATACGAAGACTGCTAAGAAATGTGTCCATGGCCAGGGACAGTAATAAACTTATTTTCATTATCATATTATTATTTCTATTTTTATTATTTTATTATTTTATTTTTTTGCCGTAACCTAATGGGGCTGCAAAAAGTAAAGTTTTAAACTTTGAAATAGGACACATCACATACAATAAAGGCTGCATCGCTGCACAAGAACAAGCCCTCTGTGTACACTGAAACACTGAAACGAGTTTAGCAAGTTGAGCCTCTTCCTGACTGCTCCGTCTTACATGAGCGTTAGAAGGACACATACATGTACAGTAGATAGTTAGCCTTTGTCAGGAAATACAAGTACATCTGCCTTATAATGTACAGTTGCTACAGTGCACCGATAAAAAAAATCAAAACATCCGACAATTTTGTGACATTATTGGGCTTTATTTAAGCTAATACACTCTTCTCTTGAAGCAGGTGCTGCGTTGATAACCCTTTTGTCAACTTCGCCACCAACAAGTCGCCACAAACTTACCTTTCCCTTCAGGTCGAGGATAAATATCGCCGACGCCGACATCCTGGTGGAGAAAAAAACTCGAGTCCAAGAAGCAGCCGAGATATTATGTGGTCTATTGTCAGATATGGGTCACTTGTGTGCAGTAATTCTCACTCCCATCATCCTCCTTCCTCCTCTCCTCTACTCTCTTCAGCGGTTGTGTTTCCACTGCAAGTCGCTGCTTTTCCAGACCCAAGTGTCAAGTTGGTCGCAATGATAGAAACGCGACTTCCGGCTGTGAGGGTGCTGGGACTTTCCTTGCTTTGGTGATTGTTGTGTTTTTTATCCAATGTTTTTATAACGTAACAAAGTAGCCTACATTTATATAATAACTGTACTTCAATTTTCAGATACTTACACTTTACTTGAGTATTTCACTTTATACTTCTACTCCACTACAATTAGGAGGGAAATATATCTTTTTAACTTTATTTGATAACCCTATTTCCTATTTACTTATCGGAGATTCAAATGATCCCAGCTACGGTTTAATTTAAAGAAGTTCAATCAGGTTTATGTTAATGTGCATTTGCACTTCTATTTTTGATGCTTAAACTTTAACATCTTTTTCCTTTTTTAACTTTCATATTTGTTGGTAATAATTTTACTCAATTAAATCTTTAATGCACGAATTTTACTTCTATTTTTTTTTCTTACTTTCTTCCTATATTAACTTTTTATCTAATATTTCAGGGGAAAATATTGCACTTTTTACTCCATTAGCCTACTTTAATTTGAGTAACAACCACATTTCACGTTAAAAGTTAGTTAACAAATCCACAATAGTACAATATAACCCTTTTAGTATTTTACCACTGTATTTTGAGCAGGAAGTCTCATTGAGATAAAAAACAAACAAACAACAACTCTCTTTTAAAAGGGAGACCAAGATAGCATCCATATAAACTCACAATACATGAATATAAATGTATATAATTTTGTTGGGTTATTATTAATGAAATCATTCTAATGTTTTATTTGTTTTATTTTTGGTCTGGATTAACTGACACACCCACAGTGGATAGTGATGTTAATTTCTAGAGTTTTATTTTGAAGTTAGAATCGTTAATGTTCCGGTTTCGCTGCGCCCCGTCTGTGTGAACTTGATTTGCTGTGTTTCCGGGTGGGAGCTCCTCGCCTGACAGCTTCACACAGACCTGTCAGACCGCTCTCATCAGCTGGATGGTCTCAGAGGATCCGGAACGCTCCAGGCCTCTTTTCGAGACGCTGTGTCAAGCTTAATTACAGTTGTTGATACCAGTGTTTGTAAAGTTTAAAAAGAAAGGTGAGTGTGACGAGTCCATTTTGTGACCAATGAGGCAAACAGAACCAAATGGTGGAGAAACTATACTCCTCTGAAGTTACATTCATTGTTTGGATTTAAAAATGGCCTAGACCCATGCAGACAGACCAGATGACTCGGTTTCATTTGCAACTAGATTTTTATTGAGGTCACACTATTTACAATTTACTGACCAAACTGTAGGCTAAGTTTAGAGCAGGGAAGTGCTGATTTCATGCACATTTCCAGCCTACATCCTAAAAATAGCATCCAAGAGTGCAGAGTAACTAATTACAAGTAGGCCTACAGCCTTTAGTAGACATTCTCATGTAGCAGTTGTCATATCTTCTTTCTGTGGTCCTACATGTAAAAATCTTTCCATGGCATGTTTTAAAAACTGATGCTGTAACAGCCCTGTTTGAATATATTAATTTACTATAGCCTATGCATTGTGGTGATTTTCTCTTGTAAAGCAAATCATGTGTCTGAAGCTTTCTTATCACAATGGTTAAAACTTTGAAGTGTCCCCTCATGGCTTTAGTTGCTTGTCAGATTGCCGTTTAAAGATTTTGGACAGTTGAAAAGGCTTTTTAATTAGAGCATAAATTGGCCTTGAATCATATTATCTATTCATGCACATACACTATAGAGAAAACATGATAGTGCAAAGTGAAATGTTCCTGTTCACATTCAGCACAGTTGAGGTTATCTGTCTACAACATACAGATATTTTGCATGACCTGCAGGCTACTACAAAATCAACAAATCAATCAACCAATCAACTGAGCCAAAAACTGTCAACAGATACAAGGGTGATTGGTTAATGTTCATTAGACTTGGCTGTACTGTACTGTAAAATGTATTATCTCGATACAGTCCCGCCCAAATATTGCAATATTCGGGGGGAATTTTATTTTGGAAGCAAGGGGGGATTTTTTAATGATATAATTATATTGGACTATTTCATGTTTCATTTTTTTTTATATATAAAACATAATTCTATTTGTCAGTAAGCAAAGCATTAAAATGAAGGTTGGACTCAGCAGCAGGGCAGACTGTGCACAACTGCAAAACTCGATTTTCGATATTATCAAATATCAGCCCAAGCCTAATGTTCATATTTACAGAAGACCCTTTCATCTCTTTTTCACACTTCTTTTTTAAAACTTTATCCCTTTGATTATCGCTTAAAACATAACATTTACTGTTACTGTCGTCAGTATACTGACAAATTAGGCACAACCAGTTTGACTTTTTGACTATTCATTGTCCTGAGTTTATGCTGAAATGCTCTTTTATGACGACTTTTGTGGGTCCAAAGACGACACGTTGAGAACCACTGCCATAATGCACTTTTGTGCTGCCTTAAAATTAAGACTCTTGAGCACTGATTTTTGCACTTTCCTAAACTCAATCAGTGTTTACAAAGTGCAAATTTTGTGACTGTCAATAGGAACATCGCTCAAATAAACAGGAAAGTGAAGAAAAGGTGGGAGTGGAATCGGTGGTTCAGTCGAGCAGGTGTACACGCACTCCTGCTAAGCGATGCTAAATTCAATCTCATCCATCTCTTCTTCAGTGTCCACCATGTTCTCCGCTGCTCTCTCAGCCCTCGCTCTCTCGCTGGCCGGGATGTAGTTGTCCTCAATGAAGCCGTCATCATCTTCCTCGGTCACAGGAGGGACACAGTGAGTTTCCCATCGAAGCCCAACGTGCATGGGATACTCCATCTCTAGGCCTCGAGGCACTAATAGGAACACAAGAGTTGTGCTGCATTATGAATAACAACCAATTAAAGGTAAGACCTAAATATTATTCTAACTGACACAGGAGATGGAAAGCTGTAATCGGTAATGTCACATTGATGTACAGCCTTGAGCTGCTCCATCAACAGTGACTGATGAACATGGATTTGTGTGATCAGATGAAGATGAAGATCAGATGAAGTTTGACAGAAATTATTTTGCTCCCAAATGAGCTTTTAATGATCTTGTTTCAGTTTGGGCTTGTTGTTGTTGATGTTAGTGACATTGTGATATTGTTTGGTGTTAAAGCTGCTTTAATTTTTTTTGCCTTATGGGGGCAGCACAACAAGGTGTAAAAACATTTGACATCACCTTAAGACTGTCACCTATTTACATTCAGCTGACACATAGCAACATTAGCATATATTTTGAATTGTTTCCAATAATCACTAATTTTTTAGCTCTGTCTCCAATAACTCCTGAGGGAGTTCACCAGTTACCAGTCACTAACTTTGTCTGTCTGTTGTTTGGTGCTGGGCAGGTAGTGTACATTTGGTAGTAGAGCAGCTTTAAGCTGACACTAAATACTCTACACTTTAAATTGTTGTTTTTATTCTGGTATTTATTCCAGACATAAAATGAATGCTACCCCTGTAAAACCTAAAACACATCACCTCCCATGTAACCCAAGGGGAAGAGGTTTAGGAAAAACGAATATCAAAGCTTTCATGAACTTGGAGGTTGAATACTAATGTTTTAGCTTTTAGACAGATGTTCAGCACATTTTTGTTTCAGTCAAGAGTGCACAAGAAATTGTTACTAAAATTTAGTGGGTGTAAAAAAAAAAAAAAAAAAAAAAAAAAAGCAAACCTGACGCCGGGTCACACTGGCTGACAGTGTCTGCCTCACTCAGCCGTGTGTGCCGGTAGCTGGCCAGGTAGCGTCGAATCACCTGGCATTTAGCCAGAAGGGCAATGAGAATGGAGATAGAGATGGCAGTGACCAAGACAGCCACCAAGAACTCCCAGTTGTGATTGGTATGTTTGCCTGGCTGGTCTCTCAAAGTGTCTGTAAGAGAAGAAAATCCCTCTTAGTCAGTCTGTTGTGGTTGTGGAAAGCACCTAAACATCCAAACCCATCTTAACACTGACTTAAAGCAGGTGGACCAAATATTTAATTTATCCATCAGTGTCTGTCAACCTCTCTCTCAAGCTGATTTAGAGCAGATTCAAAGCAATCTTTTCTGATGATAAATCAATGGTGTCTAAGTGAATTCTTACCATTTTGTGCTGCTGTTGGTGTAGCTGTAGAGACTGTGCCATTTGATGATAGTTCCATCTGGCTTTGCTCGTGTTTCTGTAGTCTCTTTTGAGAATGAGTGAGTGAGTGAGTGAGAGTGACTTCTCCTGTGTGGCTTAATTTGCTTCTTGTTGGATGAGACCTGTTTCTTGCTTCGGGGCACGATTAACTCTAGTGTGAAGCCATGGATCATCGGAGTATTATCACCCACATGTCAGATGAAGAACAGCTTCTGTGACCTGTGAGTGAAGAGTCCACTCTTTCTACAAGATCCAGCAGACTGTTGAAAGGATGTTCTGATGCCTTCATCCATCAATGTTTGGTGATGTGCAAAGCTAGTTAGTGTTATATTGTTTTCAGCAGGTTAAAAATAAATGAGATCTGAGGGAAATGTTGCAGAGCAGGCATCTCCCCAGATGAGGGAGGTACTTGTGTGGAAGATTTCTGTTGACCAAGAGGGAAGTTAACCTTCACAGCTCCACTAGGTGGCGAGGTTGAGTGATGGGACTCCTCGGTTCAGTAACAAGTGAAGACTGATGGCAGCATTATCATCCCATGTATGAGTGGAAATATGAGTCCTCTAGCTCCAGTGAAATTAGGCTTTAGAGAAAGTGGGAAACAGAAATAGGAAATTAAATCAGAATCATTTTACACACTTGCCTACAAAGGCATCTTGCAAAAATAAAAAATCAGCTATCAGTAAACCACAATGCCCCCACATCCCATGTGCACTGTGGCTTTGAATTCTTTTGGACTCTTGTAAATGCATATTTTATAAGTGAACCACACAAAAAGAACATGAATGATCAAATGACCTAAATATTTCATCTCATAGTATCTAGGAAGAGTGAGAGTGTCATCATAAAGAGGAAACGCTGCCTGGGTCCCCTAAATCCAGAAGTCATAATTGAGTATGAGCTGTCAGGAACTCAGGAGGATATCATCCACAACAGGAAAAGTGTGTCACAAACAGGAAGTCCCACATACTGTAAGACCTTCATCCGTAGGTCTAGCTGACACAAAACACTGGCAAAATCACTAATTTGTGTTTGTGTGTGTGTGTGTGTGTGTGTGTGTGTGTGTGTGTGTGTGTGTGTGTGTGTGTGTGTGTGTGTGTGTGTGTGTGTGTGTGTGTGTGAGAGAGAGAGAGAGAGAGAGAGAGAAAGAATCTCACTCTGCTTCACAGCTTCCTACAATACAGAGACCACATGCTTAATGGTTCTCAAAGGACAATAAAAGAAAGCCTACCAAACATTTTGTTTAGAACAATGTCATGTAAAAGCTTTTCAATGAAATCATAGCTAACATATAGAGGCAATGAAGATGGGAAATGCCTCACATATGACCAAAATTAGGTTTTAAAGGAAAGGTTTGACATTTTGGGAAATAACTTTCTCACTCTCTTGACATTTGTCATAAATATTAAGCTACAGCTAGCAGTTTGTTAGCTTAGCTTAGCACAAAAACTGGAAACAGGGGCACTGTCGAAAGATAACAAAACCAGCACCTCTAAAAATCACTGGTTAAGACTGTATTTGTGGTTTGTTTGATCTATACAAAAAAACCAAAGTAACCAGTAACTGACGGGAGCTGCCACTGGTTGCCTGGCAACTAGTCCCAGCCAAAAAACAGTCAGACACTTGACCCCCCGTAAAACAGTGATTTGTCATTATTACACTTCAGTTTTTGTACAGATTGAACAAACAAGATACTACATGTTACTTAGTGAGCTGTATAGAGGTACTGGTAGGTGGATTTTGTTAACTTTGGACAGAGCCAGGCTAGCTGTCTCCCCCTGTTTCCAGTCTATATGCCAAGCTCAGCTAATAAACTGCTAGCTGTAGCTTTATAGTTAGGATACAGACATGAGAGTGGTATTGATCTTCTCATTTAACTCTCCACAAAAAATAAAATAAGCATGTTTCCCAAAATTTCAAGTTATTAAATGTATTATAAACCACCATGGTTTTCCCATTGATTTTGTCCTTTTTGGTCTATATTTCTATGATCCCTGTCTAACTCTATCATGAATTTAAGAACTCAAACTTCACACTTTCACAATAACATCAAAACCTCAATGATGCTCCCAATGCAAATATAAACCCGTCATCCATACTAGTTTATGTTTGAAAGAGAGAGGACCTTTCTGTGCAGCTATTTGCAAATTTGACAGATATTTGCATGCATGAGTCAACAGGTTGGCACCCTGTATTTACAGTACAGTCAGACAAGTCTCATCCATGCTGTCCCTTATGCACTAACTGCACTAACTGTAACTGACATGACAGCTTGAGATGCTCCAGGTCAAAGTTTTAAAGGACGAATTAGACCTTTTTTTCTTAATCCCTGCCTCTCCTTTCATTGATCATAATTTGTGCATTTATCATGTTATTACATTTTCAACATGCTAGTTGTTTTGCTAGGGAAATACATTGAAGAAATACATTGAACTAAATACACCACATAAATGTTGCATCCAGCAGTAGTGGAAATATTTTTCAGATCACTTTCTAGTACATTTATCAGGTTAGGATATTTTCAACATGCTGATCGTTTTTCAAAGTAAACATATTGAAACAGACACTATGTCTCCAGCAGCTTTGGAAGACTATTCAGATGCTTTACTTAAGTGAAAGTAGCAATGCCATACTGTACACTGCATAAATTATATACTGTAAAAAATTACAATTTGCACATTTGCTTGACTGTTTTATACTTGACAGAGGAACAGTCCCAACAATAACTGTAATATAACCCGTTGAAAGGTATTGGTTGGCCATCTCTTGAACTCAGAGGCAGAAATCAGCAGTTTCTCAATAGGAAACAATGACTGAAACTGGTGGAGTAGTTCAAAGCCTGATATTACTGTAACTTTGTAAATAGGGATAGGGTCAAGGTCGCTCTGCATGTAGTAACAGGTGAAGCCAGCCCCTCGAGCAGTGTTGGGAATAACGATACATGTATCCACACTGATAAGGTGAGCGCTGTGTCCTGAAGTAATCCTTCACATTTTTGTGAGTGATCGTAATGTGCGCCTTTGAAAATAACATTGGTGAAAAGTAGACTTATAGTGAATAGATTTGAACTGCAATTTTCTCATCCTCCCACAGACATCTGACAGTGTAATATTTGTTCAGTTGAACGTCTGTTGACAGCTCACTTTACCTGTAGTCACTCAGCTGTAGAGCTCCTCTCTCACTCTCATCCCTCTCGTTTAATCATTTTCTCTGACATCAATATTTTTCAGACTTCAGTCTTTCTGAGCTCCTCATCTGTGACGGACGTCATTGTTGGCTGTTTGACAGATTTTCTTCCTGGTTTATTTCTGCTGTAAAGACGTCGCGAGACGCTGTCAACTCGTTTTAACTTGTTATGAATATATTTCCTCTGTGGCAGCAAAACACATCACACATGAAGTCTTCAGAGACTCCTGCAGGTGAAACCGGACGAACGAAACACTTTTAAGATAGATGAACTAGCCTAGCAACATTAAAGCTACAAACAACCCATAATGCAACACTTTGTAAAAGACTGTAGCCACACTGGTACTCTCTGCACTCAAAGACGGTATCTGTTGTACTGAACGATCACGTTATAGTATGCTGCTGAAATATAAGGCAAAACTTATTTTTTAACCTCAGTTTCAGAAAGAAAAATATTATCTTGTATTAAGTTAATATTCATGGTTTCACAATGTTTCCTATTATTTATTTAAATCTGGCAGTAGGATAATTAGGGAAATAAAATCCAAATTAGACTGTTAAAAAGAAAATAAGTTTATGTTTGATCCCACGCTTCTGAAATCCAGCTCTTGACAACATGTGAAAGTCATTTAGAATCACATCCACATTTTCTTTGGTTCCTCAAAATGTGGTTGTTGTTTTCTTCGGTCTAGATTAAGATTTATTTTTTTATTTTTATTTTTTTTTGGGGGGGGGGGGGTCTGGCTGCTTTGCGCCAGCCATTAGGCCTCTTCCCTTTCGTCTTCCACAGCTATTCTCTTCAGTAATGTTGGCTGTAAACACACTAACAGGGCTGCCTTTATCTCTTCCTGTTCTGTCCTCACACAGGCAGGGAGCACAACAAAATATACACACTAAGCAGCACAGGATCAGGAGCTATAGAGGAGAAGCCTGGGAGCGAGAAATACTGTGTGTCAGATTTAACAGTGTTTGTGAGCTCTTCTGTGCACTGCTACTGTACATTCATTTGTATTTGTATGTGAACAAGCATGTGCATGTGTAAGAGGATACATTTGCATCTCAGTCTGCATACTCCTATGTTTGAATATCATTCTCAAAGCAAGGAGTCAGTTTTTCTTTGTTTCAGTGCCCCAAATTGTGAGTGAAGCGTCAGTTTATAGACACTAATGATGGCCAGAGGGTGTGAAATGTTCTTTCTGTCATCAAACTGAATTAAACATCAAATTTATATTCTGCTCCAGGAGTTTGATTGCATTTCTTTGAAACGACAAATTAACTGTAAGCTATTTTATGGTTTGAAATTTGATTGTGCCACTTGAGGTGGCCAAGTATTTAATGTCAAGTTATGTAACAAAGAGCTTGAGTCAAATAAAAATAAAAAAACTAATAAAATTACATCAAAATGCATTTGGAAAACTGCTCACCACAAAATGTTTTTTGCTTCTAAAACAAATCATATTAATCATACTTGACCAAGCAAACATCTCTCTCTCTCTCTCTCTTTCTCTCCCCGGCTGCAATAATCACAGATATTAATTCTTCACAGATAATAACAGAGCCGTCCTTCAGTTGACCCTCGCCCCAACAATCCACAGAGCAGCATGCAGGCCTCCCTCTTTCCTTCTTATCCCACTGCCAAGTTCTGTATTTTTTTTTTGCTTTAAAAATGTGTGGAAGAGTCAGGCCAGGCTATTGTTTGTCAGGGATAAAGCATATGGTCTGATAGAACAGTAAAAAAAAAACAAAAGACAGCTGCCTTTGTTTAGAGACTGTTGTTTATGAGCATGATTATTTAAGTCACACACTGTAAATCAAGCTCATACAGTCCTGGGCTTTGAGATAAAACCAGGTATGTACGTATGAAAGCCACATCTTTGAATAACAACTAATGCTTTTTTTTCTTTAAGTTTAATTGAAGCAAGGTCACAATAGCTTAAGTGTCCTCAAATGTCATGTTTGGTGTTTGCCTGTCAGTCCTGGAATAATGGCAGTGTCAACAGAGAAACCAGAGGGACACAACACACACAACACATTACATAACCTGCATTATGACCACAAACTGATATTTGATATTTAAAGATTAGCTTTAGCACCTGGTTCCTTTTATTACATAAATACTGGAAACCTAAACGTGTGTGTCTTAGAGACTGAAAACATAATGAACAACTGTAATCTAATTAAAGAGCTGTTAAAAGTGCAGTGATGTTTTGGGTGATAACAGCAAGTGGCCAGCATCAACATGTGGGTCAGTATTTCTCGCTTGCAGAGGGGTGCCATAGGGATATGACTATCTAGGAATAACTATAATTTTTAATACTAATTATTATATAACATATTAGATGAGTGTAATTACTGTTCCATTTTGCCCTCCCTTGATAAGAAAATGCTTTTTAGCTATCAGCAGGTGCAGGAAATGATTTGGCTACGAGGACATTGAAATGTAAACATTGGTTATGCTGTTTTTCTGTATTGAGAAATAATGGCCTTCAGCAGTCATTACAACACTCAATAACTGCAATGTAGGGAGTTTTATATGATTAGTTCCATCATTGCATTACACAGAATTTTATCCATGTTTTAGTACAAATCAGTCAAGTTTTGTTGGCAAAGCTGCTGTGTTTTTGTTTTTTTAAACCTAAAGTAAGTCAGTCAGTATCAGTATGAATGAAAATCTATTACATTAACAGGATTTTGTGCTTTTTCAGCCCGTTTAAAGCTACATTTTATTATATTATTTGGTCATTATTACAGTATCAGTATCAAGATAAGCTATAGCTCAAAAAGCAAGTCAAGACAGTCACATGATCTTTACATAGTGTAACACGGAGACTGGCAAAGCTCTCTCTTTTAGAGGACCAGCTGTTCATTTCAAGTCTTACCTGGTCACCTGTCTATGTAGATCCCTGTAGCTTCACCTGCTGTGTGTCCACTCTCACATTTAACATCCGCTGTCACTACATTTTCTCTTGCTTTGTCTGTAAAATGGAGAAATGTTGTGCAAAGGTTGAGCAAGCCATTCCCAGAAGGGAAGTTAATGGGTAACTTTGTAACTAAGGTGTGCTCCCTCCCACCCACTGTCCCTCCTCACTGTCCAATAGCACAGCAGACCTGGTCATTGGTAATGTTGTCACTCAGCAGTGCCAAACCAGGAAGAGGAAAATATGACTTATTAACAGCATGTCATATTTTATATTGCAATAACTGCCAATATGCATTCACAAGTAAAGGTGTAAGCAACCAGTCGAACCTGCAAATAGTTTTAGTTTAGATACGGTTCCAGTAAGCAGTCAAATAATCTTGTTTGATATGTGCTTTGTGAGGCTTTTGCCTTTTCCTGTATGTGTGTGTGTGTGTGTGTGTGTGTGTGTGTGTGTGTGTGTGTGTGTGTGTGTGTGTGTGTGTGTGTGTGTGTGTGTCAGCTGCCACACCTTGCTTTGTTAATCTAAATGTAAACCCTTTTCTCTCAGTCCTTTTCAAATGACGGAGGAAATCAGACAAGATACAGTTTGTGGTGACAAGGAGTTTTGTTTATTTAAGATGTACAGCCTGAGGGGAGAGAGCAGACCTCTGGTGGCTCTGAAAGGAAAAGCGAGGTGACCCTGAAAACAATAGGGCTGCTTCCTGGCCACATGGCAGTGCACTCTGTGTCTTTACATCTCTCTCCCTTACTCTTCCTCCCTCCCTCCATATGTTCCAGGATGTTTCAGCTGCATGTCTTGGAGCAGATGGCGGGTACGAGGAATGGCTGGGATAGTAAAGTGATCACTCAGCATCAGCTCAAAGAAGCTGGGGGGGTTTCCCACCATAGATACTGGGGGCTGTTTGCTGTTAGTCGACTGTTGGACAATGAAAGTCAGATTCAGTATGTTTAAGAAATACCTGGTTATTGACTATGTTAAATGAAGTGGCCATTGTGGGGAAACTGGGTCATTGCAGCAGCAGTATGGAGTTGAATTGGGGTGAGAATGAGGCAGATAGGATACATTTGTTATGTTAAACCCACAATAACTGATTTTTTTTTTTTTTTTTTGGCCAATTGGGGTCAGCAGGAACAAGCTGTAAAAACAACACTGACATTTTATAATCTTTTAACATTGATATGACTAACTAGTTAGCAAATAGTTGCTTATTTATTCAGAGCAACATGAGCATTCATTTGTAGTCATGTCTCTGGTCATCTGATGAATGCAAGTCCAGTATTCATTCTTCTTTTTAGCTCTGTTTCACTCTGCACCTACTCCTGAGGGAAATATCTGGCTGGTTTTGTCAGTGTGCGCAGTCAGCTGTCTGCTGCGGCTGGAACCAGCGCTGATGAGAACAGCTGGAGTGAACCAAAACGGTAAAGCTGCCATAAAACCAAAACAATGAGCTGAAAGACACTTAAAAAGATCAGTTGGACTGAGACGAGCTGCAGATTTGGGTGATAAGTTTTCAACACTACACTCTTTATATTACACATAGTCATTTGTTTCACTTTTGATATAAAAAAAATACAGCTGCTTTCAGGAAGCACACTGTGAATAATGTAAAAGTAAATAACAAAAGGCATGGCACCTTTATTGTGAAATTTACATTTTGTTATTAAATAGTTGTAAAGAATTGCCTGCAAATATACACTTCACAGTGTTATTTTTGTGTTCATTTGTTCCCCTCTAGTTATTTGATTTAACTAGTGTCTAATGTGCCAGTATTAAACCTTACAGCTGCTGTCCTGATAGCAGCAAAAGCCAAGTCTACCAATTCAAAAATGAAACTACCTTTCAGGCATTTGGCAGGAGTAAAAGCTGAATGTCAACTTGAATTAGCACAAAACTTCAACATCCTGACCTGATGCACACTGAAAGAACCAAGAGCTCAATCACTTTGTTTGTCTACTCACTTTGTTTACGATGTTTCAGTCCTACAGAAGGTGTGAGGACAGTGTGCAGGATTATCTTCTGTAGTGCAAGACCTGTAGTAGGTGTGATGTTATGCACAGAAAAAAAAGTCTCATTTAGACAGCTGTGATAATTGTCTGACCACAACTGTATTTGTCCAGAATGATGCAGACAGCATCATTATAGATGGTAATGTCTTCTGTCCCTTTACATCAGACAAACATAAACAAGTTGAAGATCATTAGAGGCACCAGCAGAGCTGTGCTCTGAATCTGGAGTTTTGCAGCAGACAAGGGGTTTTCCTCACATTTGCTACCGTGGGATGTTTACTGTTTGTCCTCTCAGAGAAGTGGTGGGGGTCTGAGGTCATGGCCCCTTCTGTGTGGAGGATTGGAAGGCCTTGCTAAACCTTTTAAGAGGGGGGAAATAACAACACGTGTCACACTGTACTAAACAATGGACAGTTGCACTTAAGGAGGAAGAGCGATGTGACAAACAATCCTCCCGCTGACCATTAAGCATCAACCATAGACGGCTCTCAGCTGGGTGGAGCCATGGTCACGTTTTTTTTTCCTTGCCTCTCGCTAAATTCCCCGTGGGCACCATCGTGATCTGCAGCCTCCCAAGTCTACATTTTACAAGGTGATAGCTGCACATTGTTCGAATTTTTGTGAGTCCATATGTGGCCTCCATCTGGAAATATGATAATGTGACTGAGGCTCTCTGCACATCTGATTCAAATCTGTCAAATTTTGCATAATTCTCTGAATGGTCTTGTAATGACTTGATTTTAAATCTGATAATGTAAAATGTGCCGCTGCACACTTAAATAGGCCACTTGCCTGTAACATGTGAGGAAGAGTATTATTTTACTAAACACTCTTCATAGTGGAGGATATATGGGATACAGTATTTAGTTTCAAATGTGCTTGGTTATGTGAAGTTTATGTGTTTCTTTTATATATCTTAATTTAACATGGTTATAATGTTTATACTAAAGTGTTTGTTTGCTTGTTTTTTACAATGTTTGACTAATCCAAAAATTTAAATATAAACTTAAGTGACAAAAAAAAGGCCCTTTTGTCTTTTTCTCTTTCATGTCCTTCACTCTGCTGCAGTGATGACCCAGTTTCAACGCAGTGGTTTAAGTTTCATCTAATTTAATCTAATATAAGAGTTTCCTGACTCTATATGCTCAGTGGTGTAACATTACATACCGCACTGGCACTAACCTGCAGGAGAAAGAGTAGAGTCTGTGTTTGTTTGACTTGATCTCCTGCCACCTCTTGCAGGTATAATACTGTATATATAGAAAGAGAAGAAATGCATACTATTAGCATCACTCTTCCAGTTTCTCTCTTTGATGGCAGGGGGTGTTTATTTTCTTTTCTTTGTTCACTCTTCTTATTAAAACACCTACAGTATGAAACATAAGGCTGGATACTTTAATTCTTTAATAATCCTTTAAATGCATTTGGGTCCACATTTAATGATCTGAGTTCTTCCACTGTTTATCTAAAAACATACGCTCACGGTGCATTTTATTAGGAACACCATATTAATACTGGGTAGGGCCTCTTTGTTCTCAAAACAGCCTCAATTCTTCATAGCATTGATTCCACAAGATGTTTCTTGTGACTTTCCTTGAGATTCTGCTCCATGTTGACATGATTGCATCACATCATTTCTGCAGAGTTGTCAGCTGCACGTTCATGCTGCAAATCTCCTGTTCTACCACATCCCAAAGATGTTCTACTGGATTCAGATCTGGTAACTGGAGAGGCCACTGAAGCAAACCTGAGCTCACTGTCATGTTCATGAAACCAGTTTGAGATGACCTTTACTTTGTGACATGGAGCATTCTCATGCTGGAAGTAGAAGATGGTAAATTGTGGATGAACATGGTCAACAATAATATTCAGCTGGGCTGTGGCATTCAAATAATCATTGACTGCTATTAAGTGGCCCAAGAAAACATTCCCCCACACTATTACACCATGACCACCACCAGCCTGGGCTGTTGACACAAAGCAGGTTGGGTCCATGGATTCATGCTGTTGATGCCAAATTACCATCTGCTGCCCCAGCAGAAATCCAGATTCTTCAGACCAGGCTACATTTTTCCAGTCTTCAGCTGTCCAGTTTTGGAGAACCTCTGCCCACTGCAGCCTCAGATTTCTCTTCTTGGCTCAAAGTCACTCAGATCACATTTTTCCCCAATCTGATGTTAGATGCGAATATTAACCGAAGCTCCTGACCTGTATCTGCATGATATAAAGGAGTGTGCTGCTGCCACATGATTGGCTGATTGGATGATGGCATGAATAAGCAGGTAGACAGGTGTTCATAATAAAGTGCTCAGTGTGCAATACTGAGGCCCACAAACACAGACACGCACCCTCTGTGGAAGTGTAAAGCTGCATTAAAAATGTCAGTGGCTCACCGTGTTGTACCTCCGCCTGACAGTGTAGATCTGCTAACTTTGGGAGATTCATGTAAAAGTCAACACATTTTTAATAAGATCCAACTGTGCATTTTTCTACTCCCTCGGTGAAAGCTCTGAGAATATTTATGCGGGAAGTGAAAGTGCTTCAGGATTCAGTAATGGTTCAGTGAGGAATTTGTCTTTGAAATGTCTCTTGGTGTTTATAATGAGTCAGTACGGGAGACTTACTACTACTACTTTTTCACGTTTGGCCTGGAGAAGAGATCTGTATCTGCAACTCCTTCTGCAGGTGTCCAATCTGTGTGAACAGTAGGGAAATTATTAAGTGGTACATAGTATTTGGCTTTAGAGCTGAATACACAAATTTTGTTGTTTTCTACTTGTAAAATCACTAGATAGATGCATTCCCACAAGTTCTTGGATGGAGGCCACAATAAAGCTTAAAAAACAAGCTGTTTATATCTACAAAGACTGTTGTGGTCAATGCAGGAAGCCCATTCCTTTTCTATAATGTGTCCAGCTGCTGTTTCACAAATGTTTTTATTCACCCTGTTATAAAATATTTATATTGTGGATTTAGTAAGTTTTTTCTTTTTTCAAGATAACTCCCTATAAAGAAGCATTCAAAGAGATTTAGGAAGACTGTGTTTCCAAATCAAACACATTTGGGAGTGCCATGTTTTGGCATTCATTA